TAAAGAGAGGGCCCAAGGGAGACTGGTTTCACAGAAGCCAAGACAGGAAAGCATTTCAAGAAGAAAGGAACGGTGAATAATGCCACATGTAAAGAGAGAAAGATAAGTACTAAAATATATATATTTGCTGGCTGTATTAATAGAGAGGCTTCTGGTGACCTTTTCCAGAGTGGTTTGCCTGTGTCAAGTGACAGGAAATTGTGGAACTGAGCAGGGAAGGAAGGAGACAACTAGAAGGGGCACTACTGAGTTGAAGAAATATGGCCAAGGACAGAGAAAGGTGATGAGTAGAGTGAGGTCCATGCAGAGTGGAATGGGGGCCAGAGCACAGCCGGAGAAGTTGCCTGGGACTCTTTAACTCTAAAGTGAAGGACACAAAGATGGCTGAAGGTTCCGATTAATCTGTAGGTGGGGAAAAGGTAAGTTGTAAGTACTGCTGTCTGATAGCTATTACCTTTGCTGATAGGAGAGTGCTTGGTCATCTGCACTCAGATTGTCCCAAAGTTGTAGTCCATGATACAATCTATAGAGCAAGTCGTCTCTGCTTGCCCAAGTGTCCAAATGACAGGAAACACACAAACTGAGCCAACCTGGGTCTTTGAGGTGGTATCTAAGTACAGACTCAGAATTTCTTTGAAATATCCATTTTTGTAATTAAATATACATTCTACTCCATGGCAATGTTTTAAATTACTCTTAAGGATCGTTGATGTTCCAGGACAGACATATCATTTTTTTTCCCCTGTGGTTCTCTGTGCTCCTTAGAACACCACTTTTATCCAAAGCTATCTATAAATTCATTCCCAAATTGCTCACAGGAGGCAGAGCTACCTGCTTGAGGTAGAGGTGTGGTCTATTGCCTTGAAGCAGAACAAAATGTCCTGCACAGATCAGAGTTAACCTGGAATAGCTAGTCTCAATATCACCTACACATGAGAACTTTTTTCTTCCTAAATGTATCTAATCTGTCCCTGCCCCATTGAACCTCTTCATACTTTTCTTTTTAATAACTACTTTTCTGAGTTACCAGGGTTTTGAAGTTTGGTATTTCTGTGCTAACAGTTCCTTCCTTCCTACAGTTATCTGCAAACATACATAAACCATTTCCAGAATAAAAATGTATTTACCTTTCCCACATTACACATTCATTCAAAAATGTAAATTGTACTTCTTAATGCCACAGTTCATAAAGAATATGCTTCCTTTTGGAAAATTGTCGAAGGAATGAAGATTATTATTTCTACATCATCAGAAATAATAACATAATTGGCCAGCCATTGCATATAGGTGTATGTAGGAGTTTTCCTAAAAATTGCCACTTTCTCTGAAGTGTACACTGTTTTAAGTTTTATTAATTGCATTTTGGTAACATGAAGTTCGATATATAGTGTAAACTATTCGACATTTTCTTATATTATTAAAAATGAGCATTTTTACTTCTCACAGTACCCATTCTGCCTTAAACCTTCTACATAATACATCATCTACTTTCTTTCTAAACCAGATCAGTTCTCCCTCCAACTACATTTATGTTAAGCAAAAAAGAAATAAAAGCTTGTTAAGTAAATGATTGCTGTACTCAAGATAAAAGAGAACCACTAGATGTCATTATAGACCAAATACTATATAGTTGTCATTTTACTGTGGCATTTTGGTTTCCTGAAAGATATACACTCAATAAATTTGTTTATTAAAAGGAAACTTTCAAAATTTTAAGGGAGCTGACCCATTTGGGGTTTTTTTAGCATTGCTTCATGGTCTAGTAAAGCAGACCTCCCTATTCTGTGTTTTTAGGATATTATCAACTCACTGGTAACAACAGTATTCCTGATCATCGTATCTGTGTTGGCACTAATACCAGAAACTACAACATTGACAGTCGTTGGAGGGGTAAGTGGAGTTTTTTTTTTTTCTTTAGGCTTGATCATAATGCAAATTTTTGACAAACAGATACAAAAATAGAAAGCTTGGAGTTCCTAGGCCAGTATACTGTGCCTACTGGCTTAATAGATTCTGAGTGTATAAATGCTTTCCCTGAAACATGAAGGAATAGGATTTTGTACTAGAACTAGAGTTAACCAAAGAAAGAGGTTCCTACATATTTCTTATCGGTATATAAGACTAGATTAGACTGAGAAAATCTGCTAGAATCAGTTATAACACTTAGCTCTGAGAAACCAGATGTCAAGCAAAAGAAAAACATGAGTTTCATATCTCTTCCTTTTAAAGAAAAGGATACATAGCACTTGGTAAGATGAAAAAGACTGTTTTGAGCTGTTCAGATCCTTCTTAGGATGGACTTATACACAGACTATAATAGAGGATATCTTTATGATAAGGGAATGTTGGTAGGAAGCCTTGTGACTAAGGGATGATTTTGAATACTGCTTGAAAAGAAGCAATTCAGTTCCATCAGACTTTTACCATAGAAGGCAAGCCAAAATATGAGTCATGTAATTTAGTTACAGTTCTATCTGATATTCTTCAGGGATTTCTTAGAGGAGATTCAAAATCATTTGACTTTTCTATAGATTCTGATCCAGGGAATTGAATTAGAAATTCTTCTTAAATAAATTTTCCTCCTAGTTACTTGTTCTTTCATAGTATGGGCTGCTTAGGAGAACTTACCACTCTCAGACAACCATTTATGTCAGAACCCATGGTTTTCATCTCCCTTGGACTCTAAGCGACTTCATGAGGGATCAGAATTATTCTAGAAATGCGATAGTGCCACATCACAGTTTCTCCTAGTTTTTTTTTTTTTTTTTTAGATAGAGTCTCACTGTGTTGCCCAGGCTAAAATGCAGTGGCGTCAACCTAGCTCACAGCAACCTCAAATTCCTGGGCTCAAGCGATCCTTCTGCCTCAGTCTCCCAAGTAGCTGGGACTATAGGCATGCACCACCATGCCTGGCTAATTTTTTCTATATATTTTTAGTTGGCCAATTAATTTCATTCTATTTTTAGTAGAGACGAGGTCTTGTTCCTGCTCAGGCTGGTTTCGAACTTCTGACCTTGAGCAATCCACCCACCTTGGCCTCCCAGAGTGCTAGAGTTACAGGCGTGAATCACCGTGCCCGGCCTCTCCCAGTTTTTAAAAATAATCTTATCCCTCTACTATGAAGAAAGAGAGACCAGGCATAGGATTTACTTTTATTCACTTATTTACTCAGTCATTCAATCATTAAGTGCACTTTGGCAGGTGCTGACAAAGTGTAGAGCAGTGCTGTTCAGTACGGTAGCCACTAGGCACATGTGGCTATTGAGCACTGGAAATGTGCATAGTCTGAATTGAGATGAGCTGTAGGTATAAAATACACATTAAATTTCAAAGATTTATTACCCGAAAAAAATACAGAATATTTCATTAATAACTTTATTATACTGGTGAGATGTTAAATGATAATATTTTGGATATATTGGGCTAAATAAAATTTATTAAAATCCATTTCACTTGGTTTTTTTCTTACATTTTTAATGTAGCTATTAGAAAAAAATCTTAATTATGTGGCTTACATTGGTGACTCACATTATGTTTCTTTCGGACAGCATTGAACTAGAATGTGAGCCCTATCCTCAGGTTGCTTAGAGTCTAACACAGGTGACAGAAGTGCAAACAGCTGTATATAAGCTGTCGACAGAGTGCTGCAGGACACAGAAAAGAGGGAGTAACTACCTCTCTCTGTCAGTGAAATTGCAGTTTGCCAAGAACAAAGGGGATAAAAGGGAAAACGTTCCAGGTGGAGGAACCAGCAATATGCAGAATGCCATAGTCATGAAAAGAATGATGGGAGGTATTCAGTGTGGTTAGAACCTAGGAGGCAGTAGCTTGAGACTCCAGGAGGGAAAGGAGCTGTGGGAGCTGTGTCTGGCATCCTGGAAATGGCGGCCGAGAGCTGGTGACCTAGCTGGGTGTGGATACAGGCTGGCTATGGCCTCAAGAATAGATGCCCAAGGGGTGCCACCCCCAGAAAGCTTCCTTAATTCACTTTGCCACTCACCTTTGTTTTGCCACATCTTTCCTCTCCACCTCCCCTTGCCCTCCACACACTCAGTTAGCAATCCTCCCACCTCAATTTTCAGAGTATCTAGGACTACAGGCTCAAGCAAGACTTCCTGGCCACTCGATGAAGCTTACTAAATGGCATGCAAGGAGTGACATCCCCCTTCTCCATCCCAGGCACTAGCTCTCAAATAGCCATCAGAGTATCTCAAGGCCCATTCATATTCTAGTTTATTGCCTTTACCTCAATCTTATTTTCCTATGGCCTATTTAGAATCTCACCTCTTAAGCAGATGTAGCCCAGCCTTTGAGAATTCACTTTGGATCATCTTACACTCCAGTTCTCTGAAGCTTTTATCATGGCTATGATCCCCATGATTTAATCTTGAACTAGTGTTAACTTTAACCCTTTTTCCAATAGAGTTTGGCAATAGGGAAATCAAATAGTTGAATGCTGAGGGATAAATATGTTGATTGATAACTAAATATCATCAGTAGGGCTTAAAAGAAATACATGCAGAAACAAGTCAAGAGGTAAACACAGACAGGTTTTATTTCAGAGCCCACACCACTTCAGTATTTGTGCTCATTTAAATTTTCTTTTCCCTTTCTGTAGACAGATATTTGGGAAACTTAGCAATGAGGAGAATAAGATGATCTCTAAAGTCCTTCCCATTTTATTATTACGTACAGCACAGGGAGCAATCTCAGTACCCTAGCAGAAGAGGAATCTGGTCGGGGCACCATTTGAAACTTGTGTGAATAACAGAAGTTGGGAACATGACTGGGAGAGTAACAAAGGTGTCTTTTTTTCCCAGGCATTTGGATTCTTGGCAGCAGTGGTCTGTCTTGCTGACGGGGCCCTTATTTACCGAAAGCTTCTGTTCAATCCAAGTGGTCCTTATCAGAAAAAGTCTATTAGTGAATAAAAGGTTGTTTTGGTAATTGTATATTGCTTTTTAGTTTGATACTAAGTATTAAACACATTTCTTTATTCTTCCATATATTTTCTGCAGTTGTTCTTATTTTAATCTCAATAAGGAAGCTGGAGGAAGGAATTTCTGAATTCTGTGCCCAGCCTTCAGCCTTACTATAACCTCCAAGGGCAGCACTGAGAGCACTGGGGGCCTGGGTGGCAGGGAAGAATGCACCGGGACCGCCCTTGAATGTTCTTCAAATTCCCTTCCTGCCTGGCTGGCTGGCAGCTCAGAGAGATGGGGTTGCAGAGACTTTGAGTTCCCAGGGTAGGCAATGGCATTGCATCCTGGGCGATGACAAGGGGAGCTGGAAGGGCACACCTTGTCCGCGGGGCGGCGAGGGGGGTGCGCGCGACGGGTAGGTGGCCAGCAGCCGTTGGGGCCGGAAGCTGTTTCCCAGGGGAGAACCCGCTGCTCCCGCCTCACTGGTTCCGACCTGCGGGGCCAGCCTGACACAGCCAGGCCCTAAGGACCCACCATGGAGCCTGAAAAACAGGCACCTGTATCCAGCGTCTCTGAGGCACCTCCGGCAGCAGATCCCAAAGGCGCGGTTCCGCCGCAAGTGAGCATCGCACAGCCAAAGAAAGCTGCCCAAAGCGGACGCCCAAAGCCCTCTGCAGGTTTGGCCAAAGACTCAAAGCCGGGCAAGATCAAAAAGAGTGCTAAAGACGAGAAGAGCAAAAAGCGTGCTGAGGAGGAGGCGATCAAAAAACGTGCTGAGGAGGAGGTCAAAAAGTATGCTGAGGAGGAGGAGGTCAAAAAGCGTGCTGAGGGCCGGGCCAAAGTCCCTGAGAGATTCAGGGACAGCCTCAAACGGTTTTTCTTCTCACCCACTGGAATGTTGAAGATCCTGAGAATGGTGAGCAGAGAGCTGGTGACCTAGCTGGGCGAATGTAGGCTGGCTGTGGCCTCCTGGAGTGATGCCCAGGGGGTGCCACCTCCAGAAACTTCCTTAATTTGCTTTGCCATTCACCTTTGTTTTGGGACACCTTTCCTCCCCATCCCCCTTTCCCTCACACACACAATCAACCCTTACTACTAAATTTGGCTCCCCTCACCCATGTTTTATATTTCTCAGGGTTTTCCCAATAAAGGGATTTAAGGAAGCAATGAAGATAATGGCAGAAATTAGTAAGTTAGCAAACAAAAATAATAGATGTGATCAATACAATAGTAGTCATTGGAAAGGCCTATTAAATTGATAAACCCCTAGCCAATATAATCAAGGAAAAAAAGGGAGAAGAGAGGATGTATATTTAAAGTTAAAAACCAAAATGGGAAAATAATCACAAACACTGAAAAAACTGAAAGGATCTGCAGGAGTACTTTGCAAAACAAATAGATGTGAATAATTGGTTGATTTTTCTGGGAAAATATAAATTACCGAAACTGATCTCAGAATAGTGAAAAATCTAAACAGACCAATATAAACACAGAAGAAAATAAGAACTTTATGAAATGAGTATCTTTCAAAAATGCATCAAGCCCAGACTTATTCATAAGTTAAATAAACCTTCACTGGATGTAATTCTGACACTATTCAAACCTTATCAAAGAATAGAGAAAGAAGAAACACTTCTGAACTATATTTACAAAGAGAGTATAACACTGTTAGCAAAATCTGACCGAGTTCAGAAAAAGAAAACGAAATAGAGATCTCACTTGTATCAAAGAAAAGTATTATAGTAGCAGAAAATATTCATCAGTACTTTTTAAAAAATATATTGCAAGGAATAAACATAAAAATTATTTGATATTAGGACTCTTAAAATAATTTACTGTGTTGTAAGTAAAAGGAAAAAAAAATATGAGATTACATCCAATAGAGTGCAAAACACATATGACAAAATTCAACATTCATCCCTGATTTCCAAGAAGAAAAAAGGGAGAGCAGTAAAATAGGAATACATAGAAATTTCATTGGCCTTATAAAAATAAACATTGCAAACTGAAAGCCTCATATTTAATAAAAACAGAAGTATTGCCACTAAAATGAAGGAAAAAAAGGATGCCTACTAGCAACATTGTTATTCAATATTTTTCTAGAAACACTAGTCATCTGAATTAGGAAAAAGAAGTAAGAATATTTGAAAATAAGAGACAAAATATATAATTTCTTTAAGCTGATATGATTATATCTAAAAAACCTCAGATCAACTAGAAATAATTTAGAGCAAGATAATTTAGTTAGGTGACTCATTATTGAGTTAATAAGTAAAAGCTTTAAATAAACTAAAACTAAAAGACAACCACTTAAAATATAAGAAAATATTTCTTTTTACAACAACAATCAAAATGATCAAATATCTAAGAGTAAATGAAATAAAGTATGAAACACATGTATGAAGAAAACGTTAAAACTCTCTTGAGAGATATTTTTAAAAAACTCTAGTCTGAGAACAAGTAATAAAAGGAAAACTAGGTCAAACAATAATATAAAATGAATTATCTATAATTTTAAAGGTATTAGAGAAGAAATTGGCAACTCAATGGAAAGGAACATTCTCAAAAGAGACCCAAATACATCTGAGGATTTAGTATACAATAAAGGTTGGATTTCAGATCAATGGGGGTAAAACCAGCATTTCCCAGTAAATGATGTTGAGATAATCAGTAGCTGTTTGGAAAGAAAGAAAACTGAGGCTCTGCTTTACTCTTTCTATCAAAATCAATATCTATTTACTTTACCAGTACATATACATACTTCTTTCCAGTATGAAATATAAACTGTTAATAGTGGTTACTTTTAAGGAGAGAGACTAGGGTTAGGTTGGGGTAAGAGAAAGAAATTGATATTTTTTTTACCCTTCTGTGTGGATTTTTATTATTTACATGCATTGTTTCATTTCTTAAAAATATAAGAAATTTTTAAAATGTATGTGCAAAACAATACAGGCAACTGCAATATAATCAGATTTACATTCTGACAATTTATGTTTTTTTAATAGCCATGTGCATTTAAAAAAATCCTGTTTCTTTTATTACAGGGGTTTACCATAGGAGCATTAACCTGTTTCATCATCAGTGAAGCCAATGACTCATATATCGCAATCACAGTTTTGGAAGTCTGCGTCGTCATTTTTTTTATTATAACATATATGCTAACCCTTCAGCACTTGCTGATTTATTTAGATTGGCCCTTACTTGTAAGTGTTCATTTTCATAATTTGCCTATAAGCTTTGCCTTCAACCCAGCCCAGAGTAAGGGCTCTCTTCAAGTGAAAACAACAGAGCTATATCTCTCTAGACAAGGACATAGCTGAACTGTGACGGTTAGGGTGCTGCCCTAGTCCTGGGAGAAAACTTAACCCAATACCCAGAAAGATTCCTTGGACCCTATAGGAGGGCCACCACACATTTCCACTTCCAGCTCTGAGTTAAGAAGCCCTCATATGGCACTAAAAACATGATACTTTCAGTTTGTCCTAAAGAAAATTTTAATTAATACATTCAGTAGGTAAACACATATCTCACCCAGTGCTTCTAAAACAGTGTATGCTCCCACTTTTCAAACAGCACTCTAACAAATTACAAACATCCCCTCAAAGCAAGAGTTGACATGACAGAGTTGTAGAAAATTACTGTGCATCCCCTAAAAGATTGCAGAGTCAACTTTTAGTGAGTGTTAAGGGTCCATACTCTCAAAGGGGTGCCATATGGCAGACGATCCAGAAAAAGACATTGCACAGCCTCTTTCAATAGCTTTTTCCAGCCTTGTACACTGTTTGCCAACTGAAAAAATTCCTTAAGCTAATTCCTCAGGTCTTATCCTAGAGAGGCAGTACAGTTTTGTCCAGAGGCAGACATGGGCCCAGTTCCTGACCCTGTCACCTTACTATGCAAACTTTAGCCTCAGTTTTCCCACCTAAGAAATGCAGAGAAGGAAAAGTGTGGTGGTGATAACTACCTCAGGGTTCCTGAAACATTTAAATGTGTGTGAAGCCGAATATCGCAGTCTTTGGCACAAAGTGAACACGCAATTACAAAGTATCCAAAAAGAAAAACCACCCATCAGACCTCCTAAGGTAGTTGGGTGGCTTTTGCCATTCGGTCCGTAAACACTCCTAACTCAGAGGTCAGGCCTCTTCCACATCCCACTTCCTTAGAACATGTTTTCTAACCTTAAAGTAGGATTAGTTGCTTTTGAGCTAAAACTCAAATACTTTCTTCAAATGCGTGAGGGATTTTCTGAAAAGGCTGCTGAGCTCTCTCTGTCCCACAGAGTGCCAAGCGACAGGAAGCAGACAAAGCAAAATACCAGCAACTGTAATTGGACATACGGAAGACCCTCTTAGTTATGGAGAGCTATACCCATGGAGAGGTTTCTGAGGGGAAACTAAAATCTCTGTCCATGGAAATTTTCAAGAAGGGAAGGTAAAGTAACCGTTTTTGAGCACATACCATGTGCCAGATACTTTTTCATATATTACCTTATTTAATCCTCACAACAACCCAGTGAGGTTGTAGTCATCCCTCACCCCCCATTCAACAGATGAGAAAGTTGGATTGAAGAGATTAAATTGCCCATGGTCATATGTAAGTGCATTGAAACTCAGATTTGAGCCCAAGTCTGTCTGACTCTAAAGTCCAAGCTCTTTCGAAACTATTGTCTTGTGATGGCTTCTTTATCTCATTCTCCCTTAAGGTAAGGAACTCAGTGAGGCTACATCTTTTGCCCAGTTATTCTGATGCTCAATTAACTAACAGTACACATATTGAGCAACCACACAGTAGGTCAGATGGTGAGAGATCTGACTTGATCTCTCAAAAACTTGAAGTTTTTGAGAAAAATCCATTAAAACAGGACCCAAATTGTGTTCTCTTCTCCCATCCAGTCTCTTCCTTTCTTATCTGTCCTTTCAGATCCCATGAGATGAAAGATGTGTACATAAATGATTTCACAGGGCAACAAGTAGCTACTGTTAATAGGGAGGTCTTGGCACAGCAGGAGAAATGCTGCTTTAGTGAGGGTATTGGTGCTAGAAGGTGATGACTTTGCACTTCAGAGGGTGTCCCATGAACTTGGAGATGTGTCAGCCTCAAGCTACAGGAGCCACTTGGGACCTTATTGCAAGGTCAGTGTGGGAAGCTGCAGAATACACAGCCTATTTCATACTGAAGTGATTTTCAAGCTCTGCATAGGCTCAAAGGCTTGCCCATAGACCAGAGGTGTCCAAGATGCACAGCTGCCATTTCCTTTCAGCCTTTTTCTCCCTGCGAGAAGATTTGGTTCCCAAGAAGTACAGGATTAGGGTAAAGAGTACTGACTTTAAGTGGTGATTTATAACTTAAAGTCTCCTACAAAGATAGATTTCCTTATTTTCCCATTCCAATTCCTATTTGACAAAGGGGTAAGAGTACAGTGCCACCAGGGAGGTAAATAGAAAGTCTGACACATCAAGGCTTTAGACCAGGAGTCCTCAAACTATGAGCCACATGCAGGTGTTTTTGCCTGTTTGTTTTTTGACTTCAAAATAAGATACGTGCAGTGTGCACATATTTGTTCATAGTTTTTTTTAAACTATAGTCCGGCCCTCCAACGGTCTGAGGGACAGTGAACTGGCCACCTGTTTAAAAAGTTTAAGGACCCTTGCTTTAGACCCTCAGCAGGGAAGCCTCAGGAAGAGTATTGGCGTCAGATACAGGTGACCTGCTGAAATCTGTGGGCTCTGGGACCATATTTTTTCAAGGCTGTCTTCTCTGAACAGATGGTGGAGCAAGGGCTTGGGGCCCCACACTAAGTTTCTGAGTTACAGCTGCCCATTTCCGTGAAGGCTGTGCCAGGGACCCCGACACTCTGGGGAGGGCACAGATCCAGCTCTCAGCTGCTAACCTATGTTAGGGCCTGTGAGGCCTGCTCCTTGGATGAGTTTGGGCATTCTTGGAACATGTAAACTCACAGAATAAATGTCACCCAACTTCCAGGGCATTGGTTTTACCTGCAAATGTGGGAGTGGAATTAAAGCAGTAAATAAAGTGCTAATCTAACATTTTAAAATTTAAGCCCTTTTTTTTTATCAGCATGACTCTGCATCAAAGCTAGCAACAGTACAACTTTGCTCTCCCCACCCCAGTCTTCATATTTAGAGTTATCAACTTTATCTACTCTAGTCTAGTGTCATCTGCCAATATACCCAAGAAAGTATGAATTATAATTATTGTATTCTGAATAGCCCATATTTTAAACACTTCTACACAGTAAAAAAAATATATATATATAATCCAGCACGGTCAGAGAACCTGAGTTCTGGTCAAGCAGATGTTTTTGCCAACAGAAAGCAATTTTTTAAAAAGAATATAGTAAACTTATTTTAAAGTAAAACTCTATAGAAGTGATGATTCCAAAACTATCACCAATGTCTTTACATTTATAAGTAACAAGTAATGTCTCCTTCAAATAAGATTAATGAAAAATGGAAATCCTGGTGATTTCTAAGCCGACTCTGCCATGCCTTTAAAGAATCCCAAGGCTGAGTGTGGTAGCTTATACCTGTAATCCTAGCACTCTGGGAGGCAGAGGTGGGAGGCTCGCTTTAGGTCAGGAGTTTGAGACCAGCCTAAGCAAGAGCAAGACCTAGTCTCTACTAAAAATAGGAAAAATTAGCCGGGCATGGTGGCATACACCTGTAGCCCCAGCTACTAGGGAGGCTGAGGTAGGAGGATTACTTGAGCCCAGGAGTTCAAAGTTGCGGTGAGCTATGATGATGCCACTGCACTCTAGGGGGGGTGACAGCAAGACTCTATCTCAAAAAATAAAAAAATAAATAAAAAGAACTCCAGGCACAAATGAAACCAATGAAAGTTGCAGTTAGTTGAGTACCAGATAATGTTCATTGTCTGTAAATTCCTACTACAAATACTACATTTTGTAAAACAAATTTTAAGTGTTTAACTTTCTAATATTCAGGGTTTTTTTTTAAATAATAAAGCATTCATCATTAAGATGTCTTTTTCTTTCCCAGTTATAATTCTACACAATTTTGTACATCTCAAAGAACAATTTGGGAGCTTTATGGAAAAATTATAGTCAAGTGACAAACATTTTTTATTTTAGTCAGAGGAGGCTACTTGAGTCAATAGGGTACTTAGTCTAGGCAGAAAGAAAAAGATAATGAGTAAGGATGGCATTTATGGGGAAAGTCCTGCACATGGCCAGGCTCAGCTGCAATTTTAGCCCAGCCATCAGGGATATCTGTCTCCCTGTCCAGATGAAGCCAATAAGAGGGTCTGTGTCTAAGGCAAAAGAGAGGAGGGTTAGTCAGGGAGAAGTCCCTTGGGCATTCAAGTCAAACTGCCAAGTGTCATAGCTACTTACTGGCTAAGCAACCCTTGGCAAGTTGCTTACCCATCTATAAATTGGAAATAATGCAAGCTTGTTGTGAGAATCAAATGAGTTCACATATTAACACCTCGGCACAGTGCATGACACATAGTAGGTGCTCAATAAATGTGAGCTGTAATAGAATTGTTAGTTATGGGGCAGACCTTAGCTCCCAGGGACAGTTCAAGAAAGCACTGCTTTATAAGAACCAGAGTAAAACTACAACATCCAGTAGTCTAATGAGGAGATAAAATTATGACAAGGAGTCAAAGATTAGCTGGGCCTAGTCTGTAGCTGGCCTATTACTAAATTATTAATTTGCTTCACTTAAATTCTCAATGATCTAGGACCACAGCTAGTTAATTTTGATTTTTGAAAGTTTACACTCCACTTCTCAGTTGTAAGAATCCTCTTTCACATCTTTGAGTAGCTTGGTTTACACAATCCTCAGGTGCTATGCTTTCTGTAAAGCTGCAAACCATTGTACCTGCCTCAGGCCTGTCTACCGTGGGGAGACCTCTCACGCAGCCTACAGAACCCAGCTGGAACTGACTTCCTATCCTCACCAGCCCTGCTCCCTACCCCTGTGCCAGTGTCACCCATCAAATACCAAAAAACAATAGGCATTTGTCCCCTTCCAAGAGTCAAGTCACATTCCGTAATAGGGCTCCTTGTTGGCTAACCTCAATAGGAAGAACATCTGGGGTTTGCCGAAGTTTACTATCTATGCACATTTTGAGGGCAGATATCATGAATCTGTGCCTTGACTCCCACTATCTACTAGATGCTAGGCTCATTATCAGATGCTTTCAGATTCACTATGCCTTGGATCAGCCCAGTGCACCCCAGGCATTATCCCCATATTAAAAATTAGCAAGCTGGCAGAGGGGTGATAAAACATGCCCCAGGTCACACATCTAGGAATTGGCAGGCCAAAAGAGTTCATCAACAAAAATCACTCTCAAATTATATGTCCCCTACTGTTTTGACCCTCCAGACCCATTCCATGGAAAATGCCAAGGATTGGTTAGATGCTGCACTTCCAGCATAGGGGCATAGTTCATTTCCTCATTTTGGTGTCCCCGATGGGAAGCAATAGCGAGTTCTGATTCCACTCCTTGCCAGTTATTCAGTATTAGGTGACTTTAAAAAATCCTCTAAGCCTCCGTTACATCCTCTGTAAAATGGGGATCATAAAAATACTGACTTAGGATTGCTTTTTGAGGGTTAGATAAGATAATAACTGGGAAATCCTTGGCATACTGGGGAGTTCCATTAGAGCCATTATGATCCCATACACTGGATGGCAGTGCTCCTTGCTGTGCACCAGACAGGCTACCACTACCAAGTCAGGCCATCAAGACTTAAAGACTTAAATGTTCAAATTAGGTATTTGGACTGTATTATGGTTTCATCGCCCTGGGCTTTTGCCCCTCCACAGTGACACCACATTGGTGTCACTGAAGTGTTGAGGACTCTCTCTTCCATTGCTGCTCTGCCACTAAAGTTCAGCCTCTGCTTACTTAGAGGGGCACACCCACTCACTCATCTTCACCCTTTATTTCAGTACACAAAGAAGCAGGTGAGGCTAGCAGTTAAAGAACCCAGTACTTAAATCCAATTGAAATGCAGAAGGAAGGACGCAAGGAGCCTGCAGACATCAGGGCAGACTCCATTCTGGCCATGTCTCAGGAAAGAGCAAAAGTCAACAGCACAGACATTCACTCCAGAATATCAGGCCTACTCTTCAGATGGATTTGTGTGTTCTTAGGACACGTGAACTCACAGAATAAATGTGACCCGATTTTCAGAGCATTGGTTTTACCTGCAGATTTGGGAGTAGAATTAAATCAGTAAAGTGCTAATCTGGAATTTTACTTTTATATTAAAGCAAATGTGGTAAAAAATAGAATACAGAATTTACATTAAAATATAAGACTCTCCCCAAAAATCCTATTTATGGGGGGCCAATTTGGGCTAGGCCCAAGACCACTAGGTTTTTTCATGCTCACTTTCCTATGCCCTTTAAGAAAAATTTGATGGAAAAGTTGCCAGCTTTTTTTTTTCCTTATGGTACTCTTTAATGAAAATAAACCCATTTTCTGCAGACAAGTCCTATCCAGGACCTTAAAATCACATAAACTCATATCTCTGGAAGATGTAAGAATTATGCCTCTGAGGGTTCCTCTTAATCAAAGGGAAATTTTTAAAAGGCATCCCTCCTTAGATGGGTAATTGACCAATTTAAATATTTTATGCAATTATATTTTCATGTAAAGTCGATAATTTTCAATTCTGTATTACAGGATCTTATCAACAGTATAATTTCAGCTGTGTTCCTTGTAGTAGTTGCCATCTTGACTGTGCAAGAGAAGGACAGAAGGCATTTATTCTATGTTGGAGGGGTAAGTAGAGGCCTTCATGACTCCATTTAAGATCAATATTCCAGTTCTCTGAAAAAGGAAACTTGCACACCATCATTTTGTCATTAACCAAAAGTACCTACTGCCACCCCTTTTCCTTCGTGCACTGACTTCTTCAGATGATGTGAAGTTGCACAAACTCTAAGCTTATGAAAATCTTAACACTTATATGCATTTCCCAAATAGGTATGAAAACAAGAGTCTGCTGAACCCCTTTTGAGAATTGTCCATACTATTTTTGAAATGTTAAACAAGATATTTTTGTCTATAAATAGGACTTTGATTTTTTTCTGGACTAGAGAATTCTATTTTATTTTATTTTATTTATTTTTTTTTTTGAGACAGAGTCTCACTTTGTTTCCCAGGCTAGAGTGAGTGGTGTGGTATCAGCCTAGCTTACAGCAACCTCAAACTCCTGGGTTCAAGGAATCCTACTGCCTCAACCTCCCGAGTAGCTGGGACTACTGGCATGTGCCACCATGCCCGGCTAATTTTTTCTATATATATTGGTTGGCCAATTAATTTCTTTCTATGTATAGTTGAGACGGGGTCTCACTCTTGCTCATGCTGGTTTCGAACTCTGGACCTCGAGTGATCCACCCGCCTCAGCCCTCCCAGAGTGCTAGGATTATAGGCATGAGCTACTGCGCCCAGCCTTAGAGAATTCTATTTTAAAGACATGAGGCCAGGCATGCTGGCTCATGCCTGTAATCTCAGCATTTTGGGAGGCCAAGGCAGGAGGATCGCTTGAGGCCAGGAGTTTGAGAACAGCCTGAGCAACATAGAGATGCCCCATCTCTATAAAAAATAATAAAATTAGCCAGGTGTGGTGAAGCGTGCCTGTAGTCCCAGCTACTCCAGGAGGTTGAGGGAGGAGGATCGCTTGAGCCTAGGTGTTCAAGGATGCAGTGAGCTATGATCATGCCACTGCACTCCAACCTGGGTAACAGAGCAAGACCCTGTCCCCCACCCCAAAAAAATACAGATGAAAAGAAGGATTGTAAGGGGAAAAAAGTTGCAATGTCAAAATCGAGTAACTCAGCCTATTCAGGAAGGAAGAAAGAAGCCTAACACATGTTGAAGTACCTAGTACCTGCCCTGTACCAAGCTAGGCACATTTTAACTTAATCTTTACAATTCTCATTTTTACAGATATAGGAACTGAGGTTAAATACCTTGCTCTGGGTCACAAGGCTGGGACAAACTGGGACTCAAACCCTCATCATATGGAAGAACATAAGAAATGGCAAATCAGGCCGGGCGTGGTGGCTCACGCCTATAATCCTAGCACTCTAGGAGGCCGAGGCGGGCGGATTGTTTGAGGTCAGGAGTTCAAAACCAGCCTGAGCAAGAGCGAGACCCCGTCTCTACTATAAATAGAAACAAATTAATTGGCCAACTAATATATACAAAAAATTAGCCGGGCATGGTGGCGCATGCCTGTAGTCCCAGCTACTTGGGAGGCTGAGGCAGCAGGATTGCTTGAGCCCAGGAGTTTGAGGTTGCTGTGAGCTAGGCTAACACCATGGCACTCACTCTAGCCTGGGCAACAAAACAAGACTCTGTCTCAAAAAAAAAAAAAAGAAAGAAATGGCAAATCAAATGCTTGGAAGATGGGGGGAGTGGGGAGGTAGGACTTTGGTTCAAGAAGTTAAACAATGGTGACAGAAATTAATCCAGAAAAACAAAACACTTTAAGTTCCTTTAATTCATTCCGTAATCAGTAAATATCTGTCAATCCTATTGGATTGTGCCAGCCCTGAGCTCAGTGCTGAGGATAGAACTAAACTCATAGATTAGATGAGGCAAGACCAGCCCAGAAAAAGTTCATTAAACAGCCAGAAATCAATTGACGATAAAGAGAAACATCCACGGCTGACAAAAGTCCCGGAGCACCAGGGAATACTGGGTGCCATGGGCCTCTGGTCCCCTTCTGCTAACTCAGCAACCCAGCCTTCTACTGCCAGAGGTTCCCACCCCTAGATCTCTATCAATTCTTTTCTGATGGCAGCAGCCCCAGCCCCACCCCCGCTTCGATTTCCATTCCCCTGATGGCCACAGCGAGCTGGTCTTCTGAGTCTCACACTTGACCTCTTCAAGCCATAGAGTCCCAGATCCTGCACAGCCCCAGCCTCAACTCTGCCCCCTCTCCTGGTGTGGCTCCAGAGGTATTGGCCATCTGAGATTCCTTAAAGACCCCAGTCCAGTGACTAGAGTTCTCCTCCTCCCATTTGGTCCCCTTGCGAATTCCTTCCTGCCCTTTGAAACATAGCCCAAGAGTCCTTTCCTCCGAGAGGCCTTCTCAGGACCCCACCCCTACCTGCAGCCTTGTAGGGTCAGTGCACTCCCCTGGTCCTTTCCTTGGCGCCTCACCGGCAAAGCCAGTACTGGCAACAAAACCCACCACTTCCAAAACCCCTTTTTCTGGGAAGGCAGAATGGGCCTGCAGCAGCCAGCTGGGCAGATATCAAGAGAGTAGTGGAGGTCCCGCCTTAGATGGGGATAGGTTCCAGAGCTTGCTGCCGAGCTGCAAAATAACCCCCACCTTTCCTTCCCACATATGGTCTTGTGTCTGACAGTCCCTGTGTCTCACAGCGGCAATCACGTGTATCATCGATTCGATCATGGTCACCAAGTGGATGAGGAATAACGTGAAAAAAGTCCTGGGAATCAAAAAGGAAACCAAGACCGTCCCTGGCCCGGTGCCCGTGGCGCCCAAATGACATCCGCGCCGAAGCCAGCCCCGGCACCCTCGCGGATAAGCGTGCCTGTGTCAAATCACTCCCTCCGCGCCCACCCTGAGCTCACATGCTGTCACCCATTCCAGCCTACATGTGACCATAAAATCAGGGCTGCTAAGTCGGGAACACTTTTGCTTCCTCGTGTTGCCTTGTGTAAATGTCGCGTTACGTGTTCGCGCGCACGACGCCGCGCGCGCCCAGGAGCTCAGAGCACGCTGCAGCCGCAGGAGGTGCTGGTGAGGGCCGCGACCCGGTTCCGGGCCCAACCCGGCCTGAAGGCGGGAGCGGCGGCTACAGACCTGAGGCCCCCTCGCGAGGCCTCGCTGGGACGGGAGGGGAGCCCCGCACGTGGGTGGGACGTGGCGGGGGCTCCCGCGCGAGGGGCGGGCGGACCGGGCCCCCTGCCGGCCACGGGAGACCAGCGCGGGCCTCGAGGTGAGGCGGCCGCGCGCAAAGAACTCGCGGGCGTTGGCACTCACTGGTCCTGGCAGTTGGCTGGGCGCGGCCTCCGAGCAGGCTGGTGGACGCCAGGCTCTCTGGTTGGCCGGCGCTGTCCAGAGACAGCCGGGGAGGTTAGGCAGGCCGTGAGACGCCCAGGACTCCCACGAAGCGATGGCGGATAAAAAAGGCAAGGGAAAACCCGCGCCTGCGGCTGCGCCTCCACCTCCACCTCCAGCCGCCGCCGCCGCCGCCGCCAAACCTCCAGAAAAGAAGGAGGAAGGGAAAGACAAGGAACAAAAAGAGAAGTCAGTGCAGCCCAAGGATGAAGTAGGCACAAGGAAGGGATGTCGTCGCTACCGGTGGGAGTTAAAGGACAGCAATAGAGAGTTCTGGAGCATGGGGCACGCCGTGGTCAAGATTCTGAGTTTGGTGAGCTGGACTGGTATCCCCGGGTGAGGGTCCACGCACAAGGGCAGGGGAGAGGAGGGGCGGGCTCCGGGGGTCCTCCGAGAGGCTCCGGAGTCCGTGAGAGCCTTTTTGCCATTGGCTCAGGCGTCTGTCTCACTTCAGGGCTGCCTAATAGGGACGCTGGTAGCGTTCTCTTCACTGCCGGTGCACCCCATCTTGCCGCTCATCATCTCCATGGAAATAGCCATCTTCACCTTCTTCATCATCATCTACACCTTTGCCATCAATAGATACATGCCCTTCATCCTGTGGCCCGTTTCTGTAAGTGAGGGGTGGTGGGGAGTATCCTTAGCCCCTGTGCTGTTCACTTGAGTATCCTGGCACCTGGAGGTGACTGAACAGAGAGAAACACACCTCCCCTCCCATATTTTTGCTCGGGTCATGGGCTCTGCAACTTCCTGTGGGGCCCAAGCAGGGGCAGCTGCTCAGGGGAGGGGTAGCTAGGCAGAAAATGCTCCAAAAAAGCCTACCTGTGTGTTGGGATGAGAATTGGGAACTCTTAACCTATCTGGTGGGCCTGAGCCTTTGCTCTCCTTGGAGGGAGGGAAGGGGAGGTGTGGCAACCAACTGTGCCTCCTAACCCCTGTGCCAGCTCACACCTGATTGGGACAATCACCCCAGAAGGCACCTCATCCCCAGAATTCAAAGAAGGTAATCAGTCTCCCCCAAATCAATAAGACAAAATGAGTTGTTGCTGTTTTTTAAATCACTTCTAAAGCAGCGTTAGGTCTCCAATGAATATCCCTATAAAGGATGGTTAGTTCAGAAGAATGTTCAGCTCAAAGCAATTGTCCAGTGGAAGGAGACAGAGCTAGGCAAGCTACCAAACCACTCCCAGCTTCTATTTCCTCATCTGTAACACGGGAACAGTAATCATCCCTTGTGGGATTAACATTTAATCCTGAGGATTAAATGTAAATTGCATGACGCCGAGCCTGAGGACTCAAGAGCTTGAATCCTGCCCATCATCTTTGTAATAACAAGGCACACCTACCTAACCCTCAGCCAGTCAATGATCACCCCAAGTCCCAAGTTCCCTTGTTCACTGCACGTTTACAGCCTGGCTCTAAAGCCCTCTGGCCACTGTTTCAGTCATGTTACACGTGAGGAAGTGAGCTCAGAATGGTCATATAACTTGCCCCCAGGTCACTCAGCTAGTAAGTGGCAGGAAAAAAGACTCAAACCCAGCTTTGTCAGTACATTCTGTCCTGCCTCCTTTATTAGGGTTCAGGGATCCATAGGTCTCGGTGGGGTGGGCGAGAACTTCCAGAATAGAGAAAAAGAGGAAAAAGGTCAAATTAAGGACTCTTGGGAAAGAAACAAGTAGAAGACAAAGTAAAAGACAGGTAAAGGACAAGTTCCCGGTCGAGGAGCCTGAGAAGATGCTTGTAGCTCCAGCAAGATGAAAAACCAATGAACCTTGGAAATCTTCCTGCTATACTTACCTAAAAATACTAAGGGATATATAACCAGTATTGCTTTAACTGAATGGCTGAGCTGGTGAAAAAAGAAAGGGAAACACACAGGAACCAGAAATGGAAAACAGGTAATGATCACATAAGCTGCAAATTATGGGGTGGGAACGGCCCATGAGGTATTGTCTTAGGAAACTCACTGTGGGTTTTCATGTACTCTCAAGTCTAGAGAGGCCTGGATCCCAAGCAAAGTGGGAGTTTAGAACTGATAACACTACATAAAGCTGGAATCCTGGAAAGACTGCTCCCTTACAGAAAAGATATACCCTATAGACAGAAAAAACATATACCCTTCCCCAATACATTGGAACAAGAAAGTGTGTTCATCTCTACCTGAGCTTCAAGTGGGGGCAGGAGGGAAGGTCTTCCTTAAGAAACAGAAACCTTGAGACTTCCCTTCCCTACAGATTTATAGTTTGTATTTTTGCTGCCTATAGCCTAGAACCTTGTGTCTGGGAATTAGCATAAAAATTGATCCCAACCTGATAATATTCTGATGGTATCCTTGGGACTCCTAACCAAAACAAATGCAAAATTGCTATTTAGGAATGAAGAGAATGGAAACCCTGTCAAAAATAGACCAACATTTCAAAATTACAAAAGACTTGATTTTAAAAAAGAAAAAAAAATCACCATGACTAAGAATCAATAATCAGCAAACATGACTAATAAGAGGATTAGAACCCTGAGAATATACTAGAAGAGCTGTCTGAAAATAATAATAAATATATTTGAAATGATTATAAACATAAATAAGATCCCTAAGAAAAGAAGAAACTATGAGGACAGAATAGACCGATTTTTTTTAACCCTTTGCTTCGGATGTCGAGGGTGGATAATGTCGAGTGGATAATGAGAAAAAAGCAAGTGAATGCAGAGGGTTAAAGTACAAAGTACAATGTCTAGAATAGAAAATATAGTTACTGAAATAAAAATGTCAATTTTTATTGACAGTTCAAAAGTAGATCAGAAACCGCTTAAGAGAATTTATGAACTTAGAGGTGTGGAGAAATTCCCCAGCACATACCACTAAGAGATAACAGAGAGAATAGAATATGGAGTAAGAACACCCATCGGGAGTTGTCAAGAAGCACTCTGGGAGGCTGAGGCAGGAGAATCACTTGAGTCTGAGGTTGCTGTGAGCTAGGCTGATGCCAGGGCACTCTACCCTGGGCAGCCGAGCAAGACTCTGTCTCAAAACTTGAAAACAGGAAACCTCATAAAAATTTAAAAACAAACCAATAGAAAAATGGGCAAGGGGTATGAATAGGCCATATGCCTGAAACATGTTTTTTAAAATACTCATCTTCATTAGTAACCAGTGACATGAAAATTAGAACAACAGTGAGGTACCATTTCAACTCCTCAGATTGGCAGAAATCAATAAACCTGATAATCCTGGCTGTTGCCAAGGACAAGGGAAATGGGACCTTATCCATCACCGGTGTGTGTCAGTTGGCACAAGCACTTTAGAGAGAAACTTAGCAATATCTACCCAAGGAGAATATGTGCCCAGGAATCACGGACAAGGGCATTCACTGCAGCAGAGTTTGTAAGAATAATAGTTTTTTTTAAAGGTAGAGACCACTTTTCTCTAGTTTGGTTTATTCATACAATAGACTGTATCAGTTAAAATTAATAATTTAAATCTATATTATCAATGTGGATAAATCTCAAAAACATTAAGTTTAGAAAGCAAGACAGGCCAGGCACGGTGGTTCATGCCTGTAATCCTAGCACTCTGGGAGGCTGAGGCAGGCGGGTTGCTCAAGGTCAGGAGTTCGAAACCAGCCTGAGCAAGAGCAAGACCCTGTCTCTACTATAAATAGAAAGCCTGAGCAAGAGTGAGACCCCGTCTCTACTATAAATAGAAAGAAATTTATTGGCCAACTGATATATATAGAAAAAATTAGCCAGGCATGGTGGCACATGCCTGTAGTCCCAGCTACTCGGGAGGCTAAGGCAGCAGGATTGCTTGAGCCCAGGAGTTTGAGGTTGCTGTGAGCTAGGCTGACACCACAGCACTCACTCTAGCCTGGGCAACAAAGCAAGACTCTGTCTCAAAACAAACAAACAAACAGAAAGCAAGACATTAGAAGGTATGATACCTTCATATAAATTTTTGAAACCTACAAAATAGTATATATTGTACCTAAATATATAATATGCAAGAAAATACAAATACAGATTAGGAAAACTATACATCAACTTCCAATGCGTGGCTGCCTTTGGGAGGACAAAAATGGGGGACAGGAAGAGGGATGGAAGGGTGGGACTGCAGCTCCCTCTATTTTAAAGAGACCTTAAGCTAATATTGCAAGACATTAACATCTGTTGAATTTCAGTGGCTCAGTGGCCTGGTGGAGGTGGAAGTGGGGGTGGGATGTTCTATTATTTTCTGTACGTTTGAAATGTACCAAAATTCAAAACATTGAAAAGGAAAAGAAAAGCTCTGAGACAAAGTGGCCAGGGAGGGACAGCCGGCGGAAAATGCCTTCATGGAAACCAAGGGGAATGATGGGTGTGCTCAAAGGCTGCAGGTCCGCTGCCTCTCCCCCAGCGCCTCCCTGCAAGAGTGACAACGGGAAAGCCAGCCTGCCATGGCCATGGCCTTGCCAGTGGAGTGAGGGAAACAAATGTGTGGTGAGGGATTAGGCAGAAGTTTGAACATCATTCCTTTGGAGGAAGCCACACTGGGTCAGGTGTTGACGGGGGACCCTTGGCCCCGCCTGAGGCTGACCACTCTCTCCCACCTGCAGGACCTCCTCAACGACCTATTCGCCTTTGCCTTTCTCGTGGGAGCCGTGATCTTCGCCGTGAGAATCCGGTCGTCCCTGCCCACGCTCTACTTGACTGGTCTGGTGAGCCTTTCCCTGCTGGGTTGTGCATTTGCTCTGAACTCACCTCTTTGGGAACATGGGTGGTTTCCCCTGCTTAAGGAAAAAGCTTCTTTTCACAGAGGTCTTGGGATCAAAGCAAAGTTTAAAAGTAATGTTGGTAGGCTGGGTGCGGTGGCTCACGCCTGTAATCCTAGCATTCTGGGAGGCCGAGGCGGGCGGATTGCTCAAGGTCAGGAGTTCAAAACCAGCCTGAGCAAGAGCGAGACCCCGTCTATACTATAAATAGAAAGAAATTAATTGGCCAACTAATATATCTAGAAAAAATTAGCTGGGCATGGTGGCACATGCCTGTAGTCCCGGCTACTTGGGAGGCTGAGGCAGAAGGATTGCTTGAGCCCAGGAGTTTGAGGTTGCTGTGAGCTAGGCTGACGCTACGGCACTCACTCTAGCTTGGGCAACAAAGTGAGACTCTGTCTCAAAAATAAAGTAAAGTTGGTACATGTTTCAGGTGGAGCTGCCATTTTAAGTAGAGATGATATCCAGGGAGCCAGCCCAAGTTAATGGCTTCTGGCTCATAGCTGGTGCTTCCAGGGCAGAGGGCCCCACTCCGTCTGGGCTTAAAGAGAGAAAAGAAAAAGAGAAGAGATGATGGGACAGTGGCGATGGAGAAAGCCGAGGCAGAGGGAGGGGCCCAGTCAGGGCCTCTGGGGCTGTTAGTCCCAGGGGATGTCTTAAGCAGCATCAGCCCTGTGCAGTGGGAAAGCAGAAGGAAACACCCATCCTTTGCAATGAACAGCAAAAGTAATGAGGGTCCTTTTGTTTTCCAGATCCTTATGGGTATGGCTGCATTTTTTGCTTTAATTGATATGTGTTTGCAAAGAAACCACTTCAGAGGCAAAAAGGTCCAAAAGAATGTGCTGGTTCCTCCTCCAGGACAGGACAAGCCACCTGCACCGGCACCAGGAGCAGCACCAGCAGCAGCACCAGCCGCAGCCCCGGCAGCACCAGCAGCCAAAGGAAAAAAGTGACTTGGAGGAGGCTCCCGTCATCAGAAATGGCAGCGTATTTTACAGCAAACCGCTGTCTCCCCTCTCTCCTTTCCAGAATGGTTTTCTTTTCCATTTTAATGACCATCTGTGTGTGGAAAAGAAATGTCTCTTTAAATCAATTTTAAAGGCGAAAGTTGCTGTAAACATTATTTTGTTCATTCAACAGAAGTTACTGAAAGTCGTGGTGCAGAGGGCAGCAGAGCCGTCCGGCGGCCTGGGGGAACAGTTGTGGGTGACACCGCCCACCAGCGCTGACCAGCCAGAGGGGCCCAGGGAACATGAGAACCTGGAAAGCAAAAGGATGCATTTTGTTCACATCAGTATTTTTAGATTACTTAAAAAAAAAAAAAAAGAAAGAAAGAAAAAAACCCAAGCAATTGATATGAGGAAAATAAGTTTGCCAGCCTTCCTTGCTCTTACTTTACAGTTTAGTATTGATGCTCATGAAGTTCACTGAGTAGGAGGGCAAGGCTGGAGTGTCATCTCCTCGGGGCCTGAGCAGGGTAGGCAGCGGGGAGCTGAGGCCAAGTTTCCCTCAGAGCCGGCCAGCCAGCCCTCCGGAACCTGAGCAGCAGCCCGAGCCGGGTTCCAGCTGGGCCCTGGCACTGAAGTCCCCACAGGTAGGCCTCACAGGCTCCTCCCCTGGGGAGAACCCCACTCTCACCGGACAGTCCAGCCACCCAAGCCAGAGAAGAGCCATCCTCACAAGGCGACAGCAAGCCCCCCCCCTTTTTTTTGAGACAGAGTCTCACTTTGTTGCCCAGGCTAGAGTGAGTGCCCTGGCATCAGCCTAGCTCACAGCAACCTCAAACTCCTGGGCTCAAGCAATCCTTCTGCCTCAGCCTCCCGAGTAGCTGGGACTACAGGCATGTGCCACCATGCCCAGCTAATTTTTTCTACATGTATTAGTTGGCCAATTAATTTCTTTCTATTTATAGTAGAGACGGAGTCTCGCTCTTGCTCAGGCTGGTTTTGAACTCCTGACCTCGAGCAATCTGCCTGCCTCGGCCTCCCAGCAAGGCCCCTTTTGCTTTCCAGTTTCCTCACAGACCGATATGTGAGGAGCTGAGCAGAGGACTGCATGGGGCAGACAGGCTGGGAGTCTGGCTGAGACTTGGGGTCCGAGATGATGACTTGAGCCTTTGTGCTACGTGCCACCTTCGGGGGTCACTGAAGGTGAGGAAGTGGCAGGCTCCACTTTCCCCAGGGACAAGATCACACGTGGCTGCTGCTGCAAGGGGTGTGCAGTCGCAGGAGGCTGCTGCCCATCCTTCGGGGGAGGGAGAGGCAGCGTCTAGTGGTGCAGGCCGGGAACTTGAGGTGGCCCCAGCCCCGGCTCCTGTACCCCTCAAGTCCACTGCTCTCTCTGTGGTCCCCACACCACCCCCTGCAGGCTGGGCAGTGTGAGGCAGACCTACCTCAAGGTGTAAGCGCAACTAGAGGGAGTTAAACAGTAGAGAAAAAAACTCAAGGATGCACACTCTCCTGCCATTTGACCCACGGTGCCTTCCTCTCCTAGGCGTTTAGCCCAGAGAAGTGATATACTAGAATGTTCACAATAACCAAAAGCTAGAAAGAGCCAAATGCTCCAAAGGAGAAAAACTGTGCCACACTCACAAAATGGAATCTCCTACTCAGCGATGACAAAGAACACACCACGGATATACCAGCACGGACGAATCGCACATCTTAGTGAGGGAAAGGAGCCAGACACAAAAGGAGGACATACCGTATGATTGCGTTTCTAAGAAGTTGAAGAACAAGCAAAAATCTAGTGAAAGAAATTAAAACAGCAGTTGTCCTAGAAAGTGGAGGTTGGGAATTGATTACAAAGGGGCAGAAGGGAACTGGGTTGCCTTTCTAGACCAAACCTAGACAAAAGCTACCACTCTTAACCTTGAGCGTGTGACCACTTTCAGAGCCTAAGAGACTCGCCGAATTCTGAATAGTATTGAGGGCAAGAAGGATGTCCTGGGAGTTGTGCAGCAGACAAAGGAGCAGTCTTGAAGCAGAGACAGGTAAGTGAGGTCCCCATACGAACCACCAAACGTTAAGGTAGGAACTCATAGCATGGGATGAGAAAGAATTCTCGACACAAAGATTAGAAGTAAAAAGTTTATTTTCCTTTCCCCAAAAGATATTGGGAAGAGCTTGGCATGACAGTGAAAGAATGAAGGAGTGCTGGCCCCAAGGATTTTATGGGGATAAACAAAAAGAAAAAAAGTGATTGTTGTCAGCTGATAGCAAAAGGCAGCTGTGAAGTGGCTGAGTCTGTTTTTCCTTTTTTTACTGTCTCTTTTCTGTGAGCCTGGCTTATCAGGGTCCTCGAAAAGTGGTCTGGTGAGAGCCAGAGCCAGGGAAGGGTCACATTCCTTTTATCTCCTCAGTCCCTTCCAAGTGCTCTGAAAATAGGTTCTCAAATAAAACAATTTAAGCCACAGGTGATTAATCAAACAAAGGGATGGCTGTGTTTCTCTCTCTCTCTCATTTATTTATTTATTTATTTATTGGTAGATAATTTATTTTCCTCCATTAGATAGCTTAGTAGCAATGCCATCCTTTCAGAATGACTTTTGTTGTTTTTGTTGTTAAATCCTTTATTTGGCTATAAAAAAGGCAAAGAGAAGAAAATAAAAAATACCTTAGCCACAACATAAACTTTTTAAAAGTTATGATAAAATAAACATAAAATTTACCATCAGTGACATTTAGTACATTCAGTGTTATACAACCGTCACCACTATCTAATTCCAGAACATTTTCATCAACCCAAAAAGAAACTGTGCCCAGTAAGGAATCACTCCTCATTTCTTTCTCTCTTCAGCTTCTGGCAAACACTAATCTTCTTTTTGTCTCTATAGAGTCGTAATAAGTGGCTTTCTGTGCCTGGCTTCTTTCACTGACCATGTTTTCATGTTTTATCCATGTTGTATAGTATGTATCAATGAAACAATCACTTCGCTGCTTTTGTTTTTAATAAGAATAATTTAGAAGCTTTTTTTGAGGTGAAATCAATCATTAATCACACACAACTACCCCTTTGTTTGATTAATATAAAATTAATCATTTTAAAGTGAGCAACTCAGTAGCATTTAGTACATTCACGATGTTGTGCAGCCATGACTTCTATCTGGTTTCAAACCATTTGCATAATTTCTCTTGTTTCTATGGCTGAATGATATTCTGTTGTATAGCTAGCTGTACCATGTTTTGTTTATCCCTTCATCTGTTGATGGCATTTAGGTTGTTTCCATCTTTTAGCTAGTGTGAATAATTGCTGCTATGAAATGTAGTATACAAGTTTTTGTTTGAACACCTGTTTTCAGTTCTTTTGGGTATTTACCCAGGAGTAAAATTGCTGAGTCAATATGGTAATTCTATGTTTAGTTTTCTGAGGAGCTGCCAAACTATTTTTCACAGTGGCTGCACCATTTTATATTCCCACTATCAATGTATGAGGGATATCCTCTCCAACACTTATTATTTTCCTCTTTCTTTTTAAATTAAAGACATCTTAGTGAGTTTGAGGCGGTTTCTCATTGTGCTTTTGATTTGCATTTCTCTAATTGCTAATAATGTTGCACATGTTTTCAAGTAATTGTTGGCCAGTTGTAGATCTTCTCTGTAGAAATGTCTATTCAAGTCCTTTGCCTATTTTTCAATAGGGTTGTTGGTCTTTTTTGTTGTTAAGTTGTAAGAAGTTTTAATATATTCTAGATAGTAGACCCTTATCTGATACATGATTTACAAATCTTTCTCCCATTCTGTGGGTTGTCTTTTTACTTTCTTGATAGTGTTGTTTGATGCACAACAGTTTTTAATTTTGATGAAGTCCAAGTCATTTATTTTTTCTTTTGATGCTAAGAAAAAGAGCGTTATAGAGTTCAAAAATCAGTGGTGAGCAAATAACTCTTAAAAACTTAAAACTAGGCTGTGTGTGGTGGCTCCCACCTGTAATCCTAGCACTGTGGGAGGCTGAGGCAGGAGGATCGCTCAAGGTCAGGAGTTGGAAACCAGCCAGAGCAAGAGCTAGCGAGCCAGACCCCCCAGTGGGCGGGATTGGGGAGGAAGAGAGGTCTTGAGCGGTCCCCTGGCAAGCCCTCATTTCACCGGCCCCCGGCTTGGGGCGCCTTCCTTACCCGATGGCAGGACACCTGGCTTCGGATTTTGCCTTCTCACCCCCGCCAGGCAGTGGAGGCGAGGGGCCAGGAGGGCCAGAGCTGGGATGGGTTGACCCTCGGACCTGGCTAAGCTTCCAAAGCCCTCCAAGAGCCAGGAGTCTGGCCGGGGGTGGGGCCGGGCTCCGAGGTGGGGGGATCCCCGTGCCCCCCGCCAGCCGCTGAACCGCCGTAGGAGCTGTGTGGCGGGGTGGCTACTGTGCACCTCAGGCCGGAGCGGGGCTCGCGCCCCAAGACGGCTTTGGAGACCCCTCACCCCGGTCCCCCCAGCCCTGCCCCGTCCCACCCGGAGGCCCCGGGAAGCCGAAGGAGAAGCCGGAGCAAAACCCTGAGGAGTCCCCGGATGTCAAAGCTCTGCAGAAAGAGCTTGAGCAGTTTGCCAAGGTCCTGAAGCAGAAGAGGATCACCCTGGGGTACACCCAGGCCGACGTGGGGCTCACTCTGGGGGTTCTCTTTGGGAAGATGTTCAGCCAAACCACCATCTGCCATTTTGAGGCTCTGCAGCTCAGTTTCAAGAACATGTGTAGGGGGAGGGGGGCGTGGGCAATATATGTAACCTTAACACTTCAACCCCCATAATATGATAAAAGAAAAAAAAAAGAACATGCGTAAGCTGCGGCCCCTGCTGCAGAAGTGGGTGGAGGGGGCTGACGACAATGAAAATCTTCAGGAGATATGCAGAGACCCTAGTGCAGGCCCGAAAGAGAAGGAGATGGAACATGGAGAACCGAGTGAGAGGCAACCTGGAGAGCTTGTTCCTGCAGTGCCCGAAACCCACCCTGCGGCAGATCAGCCAGATCGCCCAGCAGCTTGGGCTCCAGAAGGATGTGGTCCCAGTGTGGTTCTGTAACCCGCGCCAGAAGGGCAAGCGATCCAGCGGCGACTGTTCACAACGGGAGGAGTTCCAGGCTGCTGGGTCTCCTTTCTCAGGGGGCCCAGTGTCCTTTCCTCTGGCCCCTGGGCCCCATTTCTGCACCCCAGGCTATGGGAGCCCTCACTTTACCACCCTGTACTCCTCGGTCCCTTTCCCTGAGGGGAAAGCCTTTCCCTCTGCCTCTGTCACCACTCTGGGCTCTCCCATGCATTCAAACTGAGGTGCCTGTCCTTCTAGGAATGGGGGGCCGGGCAAGGGGAGGAGCTCGGGAAGGAGAACCTGCAGTTTGTACCAGGGCTTTTGGGATTAGGTGCTTCAATCACAAAGGAAGGAATTGGGAACACAAAGGGTGGGGGGCAGGGAGTTTTGGGGGAGCTGGTTGGAAGGAGGGGGAAGTTCAATGATGCTCTTGATTTTCTTTTTTTTTTTTTCCTTAAGCCTTTTTTTTACTATTATTTCAGCATATTATGGGGGTACAAATTTTAAGGTTTCAAATAATGCCCTTGCTCCCTCTCCCCCCACAAGCGTGAGCCTTAAGTGTGACCATCCCCCAGACGGTGCACATCTCACTCATTATGTACACATACACCCGCACCCCTCCCCCCTCCCACCTGCCCAATACCCAATTAATGTATTTCCTATGTGTCCATTTAGGTGCTGATCTGTTAATACCAATTTGCTGGTGGGTATATGTGGTGCTTGTTTTTTCCATTCTTGGGACACTTAGTAGTATGGGTTCCAACTCTAACTAGGAAAATATAAGATGTGCTGTTCACCATTGTTTCTTAGAGCTGAATAATACTCCATGGTATACACATATCACATTTTATTAATCCACTCATGAATTGATGGCTCAAGTGCTCGTTAGGCCTTTTACTAAAGGCTTCCTTAAAGAAAGGACGCTGGGGCCGGGCTTGGTGCTCGCGCCTGGTAATCCCTACACCTCCTGGGAGGCGAGGTGGGCCCCGGCATTGTCTCACGGGTCAGGAGTTTCGAAACCAGGGCCTGAGCAAGAGGCGAGACCCGCAATCTCTACTATAAATAAATTAATTGGCAACAATATAGAGAAAAAATAGCTGGGCATGTGTGCGCATGCCTGTAGTCCCAGCTACTTGGGAGGCTGAGGAAGGAGGATCGCTTAAGCTCAGGAGTTTGAGGTTGCTGTGAGCTAGGCTGATGCCACGGCAGGCACTCTAGCCTGGGCAACAAAGTGAGACTCTGTCTCAAAAAAAAAAAAAAGAAAAAGAAAAAGAAGAGGACGCTGGGAGACTGAGTTCACTGGCGACCAGTAGTTAATTAGGCACAAGACTGGCCAAATCATTTCTAGTAGAATAACTGCAGGCTAGAGGCATGGATGTTTTGATCTTTTAATTCGCACATCACTCATCACTTTTTTCTTAAATAAAGAAGCCTGGGACATAGTAGATAGATTTGAAAAGAAAAGAAAAGAAAAGAAAGAAAGAGAAAGAGAAGAGAGAGAGAAAGAGAGAGAAAGAAAAAGACAAACGAGAAAAGAAAGAAGAAAAGAAAAAAAGTAAGTGAGGACTTTGTTTCCCTACTAAAATACGAAAATATATTGGCTAACTTAAAATACATAAAAATAATTAGCGCAGGCTGGTGGCCGCATGCCCTGTAGTCACCCAGCTAACTCGGCGAGGCTGAGGCAGCAGGATCGCTTGAGCCCAGGAGTTTGGTTTGCCTGTGGCTAGGCTGATGGCAACGGCAACTCTAGGCCTGGCCAACCAGAGTGAGAACTCTGTCTCAAAAAACAAAAACAAGGCTGGAACGCTGTGGCTCCAACGCCTGTATATCCTATGCGTCTTGGGAGGCCGAGGCGGGCCCGGATTGCTCAAGGTTCAGGAGTTCAAACAACCAGCCCCTGAGCAAAGAGCGAGAAACCCCGTCTCTACTATGAAACACGAAAGACAATTTAATTGGCCCGCATCCTGATAATATATATATACAAAAATTACCCGGGCATGGTGTGCATGGCCTGTAGTCCCCAGCTACTACGGGAGCCCTGAGGCAGAAGGATCACTCGAGCCCCAGGAGTTTGAGGTTGCTGTGAGCTAGGCTGACGCCACGGCACTCACTCTAGCCTGGACAACAAAGTGAGACTGTCTGAAAAAAAAAAAAAACAAAAACAAACTTAAATCTAAATAATTCTAAATGCATAATGAAAAAAAAAAACAATAGAGACCTAAAATCTCAGATGAAAACGAGAGGTAGCAAGAAAAAAGAAAACATAGAAAATAAAAATAAGCATAATGGCAATCACAATAAATGAGAATAAGTCCATTTTTCTATTAAAACATAGAAACTATCAGATCGTTGAGGTTTTATAAATGTAACTTTGTAATTAGTATAAGTAACACAATTAGAATAAAATGACACCAAAAGATAGTAAATAAAATTATTTGTAAAAGCCAGTTCTCGGGACCATGGAGTAGGTTTACATTACCCTCTCTGTCCTACTGAATGCAACTAAAAACTTGGGAAAGGGCGGGGCGCGTGGGCTCACGCTGTATCCTAGCTCGTTGGGCGACAGTGCCGAGGCGCGGATTGCTCAAGGTAGGAGTTCGAAACCAGCCTTGAGCAGAGAGCGAGACCCCGTCTCTACTGATAAAGTAGAAAGAAATTAATTGGCCAACTGATATAGTATATAAAAAATTAGCCGGGCATGGTTGGCGCCAGTGCCTGGTAGTCCCAGTACTCGGGAGCTGAGGCAGAAGGATCACTCGGGCCCAGGAGTTTGAGGTTGCTGTGAGCTAGGGCTGACGCCACGGCACTCACTCTAGCCTGGACAACAAAGCGAGACTCTGTCTCAAAAAAAAAAAAAAAAAAAAAAAAAACTTTGGGAAAGAGTACATGGAGCAGCTCTCTAAGGTTTCTGAAAAGTAAATAGTAGAAAGCATTTGGGGAAGGAGACCAGAATTTAAGAATAGCCCGCTGAACCAGCTAGTGATGTCTTGGGGCTTTTTCCTTGGTATCTCCTGGGCCTGGACTCATAGGTAATCCAAAATCCAGAAGTATGCACTGGGCTGTGAATGGAAACAGTTCCAAGAGAGGCCCTCTATTCCTATTGTTATGGCCCTAATGTTTGTGTCCCCACACACAAAAAAATTTCATACGCTGGGGCCGGTAACCTCTAGTGTAGAGATGGAGCCTCAATGAATTAATTAAGGTTAATGAGATCATAAGGTTGGGCCCTGATCCAATAGGGTTAGGTGTCTTCTTAAGAAAAGACACGCAAGCCAGGTGCGGTGGCGCATGCCTGTAATCGTATAATCGTAGCACTCTGGGAGGCCGGAGGCGGAGGATTGTTGAGCTCAGGGAGTTCGAGGACAGCCTGCGCAACGATCGAGACCCCATCTCTACTAAAAATAGAAAGAAATTAGCAAACAACTAAAAGTTGAAAAAATTAGCCAGGCATGGTGGCACATGCCTGTGATCCCAGCTACTCGGGAGGCTGAGGCAGGAGGATTGCTCAAGCCAGGAGTTGAGGTTGCTGTGAGCTAGGCTGAACCATGCCCGGCCAAGAGAGTGGAGAGTCTGTCTCAAAAAATTAAAAAATAAGGGCCGGCGCGCTGTGGCTCACGCCTGTAATCCTAGCTCTTGGAGGCCGCGAGGCAGGCGGATTGCTCAAGGTCAGGAGTTCAAAACCAGCCCTGAGCAAGAGCGAGACCCTGTCTCTACTATAAATAGAAAGAATTAATTGGAACTGGATATATAATAAAAATTAGCCGGGCATGGTGGCGCATGCCTGTAGTCCAGCTACGCGGGAGTGAGGCAGAAGGGATCACTCGAGCCCAGGAGTTTGAGGTTGCTGTGAGGCTAGGCTGACGCCACGGCACTCACTCTAGCCTGTGGCAACAAGAGCGAGACTCTGTCTCAAAAAAAAAATAAAAATAAATAAAATAAATTAAAATAAGACAACGACACCAGGCAGTGTTTGTTTTCCCTGTAACCCCATATGGCAAGAGGGAAAGTTCCGTGTGAGGACACAGTGAGTAGGTGGCCACCTACAAGCCAAGAAAGGGAGTCCTAACCAGAAACCGAATTTGCTGGCACCTTGATCTTGGACTTCAAGCCTCCAGAACTGTGACAAAATTAATTTCTATCATTTAAGCTCCCCAGTGTGTGGTATTTTGATTTGACAGCCTGAGCTGACTGATAACTAGTCCAAGGAGCAAGAAACAGGCATTATGAGAGTGGAGGAGGCCCTTGGGCTTTTTTTTTTTTTTTTTTTTTTTTGCCTGCTTGTAACTCTATGTATCATCCGAGACTGGGGAGAGGGATGTGTGGGAGACACTATGTCACTCAGGAAACACGGGTCCTTGCACAGCTTCAAGGTGGAAGAACTGGGGGAAGAGGAGAAAGACCTCTTTCCTGCTAGCAATGGCAACTTAGGGAGAAGCTCTGGACCCAGTGCCAGCTGGAGGCTGTGTGGCCTAGTTCCCACCAAGGGACCAACTTTTAGACCTAAGTAGCTACTACGTCCCAGGAGTCAAGGAACTGCTTGGGGACTGAGCTAAGGCAGCCTGCTTCCTCCAACAGGAGGCATAGCGTGGCCTCAGCAGGGCTAGGCCAGCTGGCAGGCAGTCAGTGTTCATTCCCCTCATCCGACCCCGCCCGCCGCCCAGCCAGGGCAGCCGGTCCGTTCCTGCCAGCAGCTCGGGCTGGCATGCTGTGGGAGGGGCAGGAGTGGGGGGTCACTTCATGAGCTTCGCAGAGAGGCGGATCTGAACGTCACAGAGGAAGATGTCCCTGAGGTCTCTGCCCACCTCCTGTGTGATATGGGAGATTGCTTGGCCCTTTGGACCAATCAGGAGCCTCACATGAGATTCTTTGGGTACCAGAAGCTTCTGTTTGATCACCAGCTCCCCACTTGGTCCTTCGTCCCACAAGATCGTCTTCTGCTGCACTCCGTAGGGTCCCTCCTGGGGCAGGTGCTCTAGGAGCTTCTCTCGGATGGTGTTGGCGCGGATCCCTTCGGGTGTCTGGCTAGTGACGACTCCACTGTGGAACTCGCAGGGCCCTGGCTGGGCCTGTGCCAGGAAGTATTTCTCTGGTGTTTTTACATCGTCCTGGCTTAGGGCTGACAACATGAGGATCTCCTGGAAGCGGGGCCGGCCAGTCCCCTGAGGGCTTCCCACAGACCTTATGTTTGGGGCCCTAGCTGCTGGGCTGGGGCCATGCATGCCAGGGCGTGAGCGGAAGGCTGGTTTCATGCCCAGCTTCTTGCCATTGACCACACCTTCGGGGAGGGCCACCGTGAGCTCCAGGGGAACTGACTTTTGCTTCAAGCAATCTACCCTGTTCAGGACAAGGATGCTGGGGACCTGAGAGTACTGGGTCAAGCACTGGAGCACCTCAGCGCTGAGCTGGTTCTGGGTCCACTTGTCTGAGACATCCACAAGAAGAACAACAAGATCAGCAGACTCCATACTCTTCCACGGATCTTCCAACCAAGAGAGCTCCAGGTGGTGCCTCTTCTGTTTAACAGGACTGATAATGCCAGGTGTGACCAACAGAATCACCTGGGCCTCCTTCTCCGTGATGACACGCAGAGCTTGGCAGTGAGCGGTGAGCACTTCCTCGGAGACAGGAAACGCGTTGACTTCCCTGCATTCAAAGCTCCCGGGAGAACCACACGTAGGACCCGGGGATTCTCAGGCATGTCAGGGCGAGGGACAAGAGGATACCCTGCTCCTCTCTACGTATGGACACCACGGGGACGCAAGGAGTCAGCAGCGAACTGCCAGGCTGAGGTAATCCGAGAAAATGGTCCAGGGCTGAGCCCGGGCCGTATTGGGAAGAGGCCGATGCCAAGCGGGGACCAGAGAAAGTGGCGCCTGAGACACAGGACAGGCACCTCAGCTGACAGCATGAAAGCGAGGAGAACGGAGTCACCCACTCCCCCGAGAAGTGGGGACCCAACTGCCAGACCCATAACACTGCTTGAACAAGCCCAGCCCTGCGTAGACTGGGGGCAGCCATTGCAGCCACCATGCACCGCCCTTGGGTGTTTTGTTTTTTTGAGAGAGTCTCACTCTGTCATCCCAGGTAGAGTGCAGTGTTGTCATTGTAGCTCACAGCAACCTCAAACTCCTAGGTCCAAACAATCCTTCTGCCTAACCCTCCCAAGTACCTGGGACTACAGGTGCACATGACCATGCCCAGCTAATTTTTCTATTTTTAGTAGAGATCTTGCTCTTGTTCAGGCTGCCTTCAAACTCCTGAGCTCAAGTGATCCTCCCTTCTCAGCCTCCCAGAATGTTAGGATTTACAGGCATGAGCCACCACGCCCGGCCTGAGGTGAAGACACTTTTATAAGAGATGATACCAGCTTTTTTTTTTTTTTTTTTTGAGACAGAGTCTCACTCTATGGCCCAGGCTAGAGTGCCATGGCATCAGAGTGGCTCACAGCAACCTCGGACTCTGGGCTCAAGCAAATTTTTCTGCCTCAGCCTCCCCAGTGGCTGGGACTACAGGCATATGCCACCATGCCCAGCTAACTTTTTCTATATATTTTTAGTTGTCCTGTTAATTTCTTTCTATTTGTAGTAGAGACAGGGTCTCACTCTTGCTCAGGCTGGTTTCAAACTCCTGACCTTGAGCGATCCGCCTGCCTGTGCCTCCCAGAGTGCTAGGATTACAGGCCTGAGCCACCTCGCCCGGCCTAAGGTGAAGACACTTGTATAAGTGATGATATCAGCCATTTAGTCCATCTCTAAAGAATTTAGGGTCCTGGGAATTGAATCATATCAATTCAGTCTTTTTTATGGTATTAACTGAAGAACAGTGGTGCCCTTTACAGATTTTACAGAGCCAAATCAGGACTGTCTGAGGGATTTTCAAAAAGTTCATGGAAAAATGCATATTATGAAAAAACTATGCATGGATTTCAAACTTTTTTTGTACTGAAAGAAACTCATACTAACTAGTTACAACATGTCTGAACAAGATCTAGTTTGAGGCATTTAGAAGGATAAGACATCAGTTTGAAAAGAACCCTTATCGGAATAACATGAATTCTGCTCCAATTAAAGCAAGAATAAACATCAAATGCTATGGGGAAGCGTGGATGGGAGAATGATGAAATCACTGATGCTTTATGAAAAGTTTATAGGGACAATTCCTCAAAAAATCAGCAGTTTACAAATGGATAACTTGTTTTCAAAAGGGATGAAATGATGTTGAAGGAAAAGCCCACAGTGTCAGACCATGCACGTCAATTTGCAAGGAAAAAAATTCATCTCCGTCACGTCCTAATTGAAGATGAAGGATGATTAACAGCACAAATAGCCAACACCACGGACATCTCCATTGGCTCAGCTGATACAGTTCTAACTGAAAATTAAAGTCGAGCAAACTTTGCACCCAGTGCCAAAACTATTGCACCCAGATCAGCTGCAGACAGACGGGCGGAGCTTTCAATGGAAGTTTTTAAAAAGTGAGATCAAGCTCCCGAAGCATTTCGTGGAAGAACTGTAACGGGCGATGAAACGTGGCTATATCAGACAAAGCACCATCCAAGCAGCCACCAGCAAGAGGCGGAAGTGGCCCAGGTGAAGCAAAAAGGGACCCGCCAAGAACAAAGGTCCCCTGGCAAAAGGTTTACGACATGCTGAAGGTATTTTGCTTGTTGACTTTCTCACGGGCCAAAAAAATGATAACATGTGCTTATAATGAGAGCGTTTTGAGGAAGTTAGCCAAAGCTTTAGCAGAAAACACCCAGAAAGCTTCACCGGAGAGTCCCTCTCTGCTGGGACAATGCTCCTGCTCATCAGTCTCATCCAACAAGGGCAATTTTGTGACAGTTTCAGTGGGAAATGATTAAGTATCGACCCTACAGTCCTGATTTGCCGCCTTCTGACTTTTTTTTTTTAATTTTCCTAGTCTTAAAAGATCTGTACAGGGCACCCATTTTTATTCAGTTAATACCCTAGAAAAGACTTCATTGATACAATTATGTTCCCAGGACCCTCAGTTCTTCAGCGATGAACTCAACGGCTGGTTTCATTGCTTACAAAAAGTGTCTTGACCTTGATGGAGCATATGATGAGAAATGAGGTTTATATTCTTCATTTTTATCTTTTAATTCCATTTTTCCACAAATTTTTTGAAGTCCCCTTATATGCAAGTTCCAGTTGCTCCATATCCTCACCAGCACCTGGTAAGTGTCCTTTTTTATGCTATTTTAATAGGCGTGTAATAGTACCTCACTGTGGTTTTAATTTGCATTCCTAGCTATTTAATGATGTTGAGCAGCTTTCCACGTGCTTATCAAATATTCATATATCTCCCTTGGTGAGTTGTCTGTTCCCCTTTTAAAAACTGGGTTGTTTTCTTATTGAGTTGCAGTTCAGAGCCATGTTTTTTTGTTTTTTTTTTTGTTTTTTTTTTTTGAGACAGAGTCTCGCTTTGTTGCCCAGGCTAGAGTGAGTGCCGTGGCGTCAGCCTAGCTCACAGCAACCTCAAACTCCTGGGCTTGAGTGATCCTTCTGCCTCAGCCTCCCGAGTAGCTGGGACTACAGGCATGCGCCACCATGCCCGGCTAATTTTATATATATATATATCAGTTGGCCAATTAATTTATTTCTATTTATAGTAGAGACGGGGTCTCGCTCTTGCTCAGGCTGGTTTTGAACTCCTGACCTTGAGCAATCCGCCCGCTTCGGCCTCCCAAGAGCTAGGATTACAGGCGTGAGCCACCGCGCCCGGCCTCAGAGCCATGTTTTTAATAACACAGATCAGAACAAGAGCTCTCTGTTAGAACTCTCACCTGGTCTCCTCCCAGGCCCTTGAGAGTAAAATCCAAACACCAGGGTCTGGTCTGTTAGCACACCTGGGCTGCTAGCACAGCTGTTAATGGAATAAATGAATGTCGGCAAAGGCTTCTTTGAGGAAGTGACACTGTATTATTACAATCACCAAAGAATAAGAACTTAATCAGACAAGAAGGTAGAGGAAGAACATTCCAGATAGAGGGGACAGCATGTGCAAAGGCCCCGTGGCACGAGGGAGTGTGGTTTGTTCAAGGAACTGTAAGGTTGATGGGAGAAGCAAGGGAGGAATTAAGAATTACACAGTTAAGAATTGCATTTCACTTTTATCCCAAGACCCTGAGCAAGATGGGAACCTCCCAAGATTTTTTTTGTCTTTGGGGAAGGAATGGAAGTGCCATGACTTATGATTTAAGCATCCCTCTGGCTGCCAAGGGAGGAAACCTAGAGGCCTCCTAAAGACTCTCACAACAGTTCAGGGAGGGGACAGGGTTCAGGGTGGTTTGGGATCTAGCAGTGGCCGTGGTGGTGAGAAGTGGACAGAGGTCAGAGAAAGTTTAGGAGGTGAAGATGGGCGGGCCTGGGCAATGGATGGACGGTGAGGGAGGACAAGAGTGGACAGACGGACGGACGGCAGTGCGCTTTGAAGAGGCCCAGGCACGGCGGAAATGTCACCGACTGGGTCTTGATCACACCGAACTCCAGAGGCCCCAAAGACTGTGTGTGTGTGTGTGTGTGTGTGTGAGAGAGAGAGAGAGACAGAGACAGACACAGAGAGACAGAGACAGACACAGAGAGACAGAGACAGACACAGAGAGACAGACAGACACAGAGAGACAGACAGACACAGAGAGACAGACAGACAGACACAGAGAGACAGACAGACAGACACAGAGAGACAGACAGACAGACACAGAGAGACAGACAGACAGACACAGAGAGACAGACAGACAGACACAGAGAGACAGACAGACACAGAGAGACAGACACAGAGAGACAGACAGGCATGGGGGCCGGCAGGTGGGGGTGGAGAGAAGGGGTGCAGAACGGAGGCCTGGGCAGCCCACAAAGAGGCCCTGGAGGAGGGCGGGCCAGCCAAGGATGAGAGGGGCGGCCTAGGAGCGGGGAGCCGACATCCCGGCCAAAGCCGTGGGAGGACGGGGCGGGCGGAAGTGGGGGTCTTTGCTGTTTAGACGCCTACACTCCCGGACCCCAGACGCGCGCGCCCGGGCTGGCAGTTAGACCCGAGACAGCGAGTGTAGACAGCGCTCTAGGCAGGGATAGATAGGTGGGAGCTCCGACGGGTCGTTCGGGGCGGTAGTAAGGCCAGGACAGTGGTGAGGGAGCAGGCGGGGGTCTGGGGACGCCTCGGGCCAGTACGGGCGGTCGGCCGGGCGGCCGGAGCGGCGCGGCGGCGGGGTCCGGGAGTGGGGGCGGCGCGGCGGGGACGGGAGGGGACGGCGGGGCGGGGCGGGGGATGCGCCCCTGCGCCCAATTAGTCTCGGCTTTTCTCCTTCCGCGCAGTCTGCGTTTCCGCTTCCCTCCGGGGCGCGGGGCAAGAGGGAGGGAGGCCGAGCCTCGGCCCTGCAGCCGCCGCCATGTGGCCCCCAGACCCCGACCCGGACCCGGAGCCCGCCGCCAGCTCCCGGCCGGGCCCCGCGGTCCCCGGGCTCCGCGCCCTGCTGCCGGCGCGCGCCTTCCTCTGCTCGCTCAAAGGCCGCCTCCTGCTGGCGGAGTCGGTGAGTGCGCGGGCCCCGGCGGCCTCTCCTCGCCGCTCCCTGCGGCGGCGGACGGCAGCGCCCGCGCCCGGGCCCCATCCCCGAGCCCCATCCCCGAGCCCCCGCGGCACTCCGCTCTGGAGCCCCGCGGCGTCGGGCCAGCGTCCCGAGCTGCGGAGCGCGAGGCGGAGGTGGGCGGCCCGCACCCAGGCCCCCTCCCCCGGTTTTCTAACTGGCGAGTGCAAAGTTGGGGGCTGCAGGAATCGGGGAGGGGCGGCCCCAACTGCACGCTGTGTGACCTCGGGCGCCGCCGCCCTCTCTGGGCCCGCGGGACAGCTGCGCCTGGACAGCTGCTGGCCTCCGTCGTGGGTTGTCGGCCGTGCTCCGCCAACCCTCTCGCCGCCCCGGGCTGGGCCCCGGGAGGAATCCGCTCGCTCGGCCCTTCGGGACCCCGGGTCGCGGGCAGGGCCTGGCCGGGCCTCGAGCTGCCGGGCGGAGGCTGCAGCGCTTCTGGGGCGGGAGGCCGGGCCGCGTCGGCCGTCTGGGCGGGGGACCGGCGAGAGTGGAGGGAGCCCCCGGGAATGGGCGAGGCCGGGCCGCACAGTTGGGGGCGCGGGCAGCCCTTGGGGGTGACTTCACCGCCGCCTCCCCTCCCTCGTCGGGCTCCAGCCGCCCCGCCCCCGCTGCGCTCCTTCCTCCTTCCTGCTCGCCCCCACCCGGCCGGTCTGGCCGCCTTTGTCCTCCTGATCCTCTGAAAACTCCCGCACTGGGGTTCGCACCGTCCGCGTGCCGGGTGGGTACTGGCCTGGGCCTCCAGGGGTGCAGAGGGAGAGGCCAGGCAGAGGGGAGGCGGACGAGGCAGGACGAGGGAGCAGCACTGCCCGGAGGCCACTTGTTGCTTAGATCCGGGCAACTCGGTGGCGCAGGTCTTTACTCCCACTTTCTAGATGAGAGAGCGCGCAGGTGCCTGGCGTTTAGGGGATTTGATAGGTGCCACAGGTGAGAGACCGAGTGAGAATGAGGAGGAGGGTGGGGGAAGGAGGATTCTGTCCCGGAGCCCAGGTCGGATGGCAGCAGTCCTTCCTACAACTACTTCTGCTGTCAGCCCAGAGGTCACCAGCTCAGCACGTGGCCAACTCCCAAGTGAGACTCCAGGGCTGGACTCAGAGGCCACACTCCCAGGGAGACGCCTTCTGGCTGCCCCACCCCCAGCCCCACCCTGAGACCTCAGGGAGGCACTTTGGGGGAGAAGCCTGAATCCACCTATCCCCAACCCCTGCCCACCCAGGACCACCTCATGGGTGGGGGCACCGTGCCAGCCAGAGCATAGTCCCAACCCAGCTGGATGGCAGGAGTCTAGGACTAGACAGAGAAGGAAGGGTTCATGATGGCAGGAGTCTAGGAGTAGACAAAGAAGGAAGGGTTCGGGGAGGGCACTCAGGGTGCATGGGAGCCACTCCTGGTCACTCCTGCCTCACTGGTCACCTCCCTCCCACCCCCAGGCCCAAGCAAGTGCAGAGACTCACATGGGCAGGAACAGGGAGGAAGTGGCTACCAGGAATTGGGGAATGAGCAAACAGGAATTGAGAGGGGGATCCCCAGAATCAGGCTGGGGGGATGGGAGGCAGGAAGGGGAGGGCCTCAAAACAGCCTTGGGCACAGGAAGCTCAGCAGGAGCTGCGGTGGACAGGGCCTGGTGCAGCTGGACAGGGCCTGGTGCATCGTGGCCTTACTCTCTAAGGAGGCCCTCACAGTCTAGGGTGGGTTCAGCCACCCCCATGGCCATGTCTGCCCTGGGGACTCCCTTGGGATCCCTGCAGCTCATTTGCCTGAAACAGCCACAATGCTTCCTGTGTGGCATCTGGGTGTCCCCATGGGGTCCCCCTCCACCCACTGCAAGCTACTCAGCCACAGTGACAGAAAGAGGAGAGATGGCCTCCCCTAGCGCCCACAAGGCCTGGCTGCTTAAGAACTCTAACTGGCGTCAGCCAGCCCTGGGTTCACATTCTAGTGACCTCTTACCAGCCTGGTGACAATGCAGGATTGTCGTCACTGCAACCTCAAACTCCTGACCTTGAGCATTCCTCCTTTCTCAGCCTCCCAATTAGTTGGGACAACAGGCGCTCACGCCACCATGCCCGGCTAATTTTTTCTGTTTTTAGTGGAGACCATCGCGTTCTTGCTCAGGCTGGTCTCAAACTCCTGGCCTCAAGCCATCATCCCGCCTGGCCTTTCAAAGTGGGGGGATTACAGGCTGAGCCACCCGCACCTGGCCTCATTTTATTGCAGACATCAGTACTTTTCAACTCTAAACAGCTTAAGCATGCATATCATTAACTCAAGTTTAAGATTTGTTTTTTATTTTTAACGGACAACTTACATTCAGTGAAAAACACACATCTTGGGTGTTGGGTGTTATTTTTTATTTATTTATTTATTTTTGAGACAGAGTCTTTGTTGTCCAAGCTAGAGTGAGTGCCGTGGCATCAGCCTAGCTCACAGCAACCTCAAACTCCTGGGCTCAAGCAATCCTCCTGCCTCAGCCTCCCGAGTAGCTGGGACCACAGGCATGTGCCACCATGCCTGGCTAATTTTTTCTATATATATTAGTTGGCCAGTTAATTTCTTTCTATTTATAGTAGAGACAGGGTCTTGTTCTTGCTCAGGCTGGTTTTGAACTCCTGACCTTGAGCAATCCTCCTGCCTCGGCCTCCCAGAGAGCTAGGATTACAGGCGTGAGCCACCGCGCCCGGCCTGGGTGTTATTTTTTGAAACTGGTTCCTGCTTAGCTTTGATTTACCCCTGTAGGGCGCAGAGTAGGGGGGAAGAGGGTGCCGGGGTGGGGGTGCGAGCCACCCCAGGAGGCTGGGGCTTCCTAGCTAGGTCCTGGCAGGGGTCTGGGGTGAGGTCAGGATGCAGGGCCTCGCACCCAGCACTGGGTGCGGCCCGGGCGCCATACTGGGTTCAAGTCCTGGCCATGCCGCTTCCCAGCCGCGGGACTGTGGGTGAGGATGGCAGAGTCTGGCTCAGGGGCGCAGTGGCCCGGGGGCAGGAAAAGGCTCTGACTTCTCCCCAACCCGCTTCCTCTCAGGTTCTGTCCTTCATCACCTTCATTTGCTATGTGGCATCCTCAGCGTCTGCCTTCCTCACCGCGCCTCTCCTGGAGTTCCTGCTGGCCCTGTACTTCCTGTTTGCTGATGCCATGCAGCTGAACGACAAGTGGCAGGGCTTGTGCTGGCCCATGATGGTGAGGACTGGCCTGGGCAGGAAGGGTTGGCTGTCCCCCCGGACACACACCGGCGGTCACTCGGGCCTGCCCCCTTCCCTGCGCGGGAGGGGCGGTGTGCCCTTGGTGGGGGCCGGGCTAGCACGGCAGACCCGGCTTTTTGGAGGGTCTGGCCGCACCTCCCAGCCGCCTGGGACCTGGGGAGGGTGTGGCGCTTCCCGAGCAAGTCTGCGAGGCGGGAGCCCGAGACGGGCTCCTGGCCACCAGGTGGCGCCCGTGCTCCCAGCGGGCCCGGCAGGAATGCGCCTCCGCCGCAGGAATTCTAGCCATTTCCAGGGGACGGGCAGGTTAACTGAGGACTTGGGGGCTTACCCAGGCCTCGCCACCCGGCAACCCCGGCCTCACTTTCTCGCCTGGGAGGGCCCAGGGCCCCAGCGGCGGACTGTGCTGAGCCAACTGTGTCATGGAGAAAGGGCAGCAAAGGCTAGAGTGAATCCCCGTCTGTGGACTTCACACCCGCACCCTCCACCTGCCCGGGGAGGGCTGCACCCTTTGTGTCCCAGTTTTAGGGACAGGTACGCAGAAACCGTGATCCGTAAATGGATCGGCCACAAAGGTGTGGCAAAGTGAGGCCCAGGGCCAGGTCTCCCCGGTGAGCGCTGGAAGGGAGCAGGTGACGGGGTTTCCGGTTTCTCCCTCCCCACCACCGGGCAGCGGTCAGCAGCCTGCGGGACAAGGGAGGCGCCCAGGGACTGGGCTCAGAACAGGGGGAGCCCTCGGGGGGTGGGGGCAGGTCCTCCCGGGTAACGTGCCCTTCTCTCCCCAGGACTTCCTGCGCTGTGTCACTGCTGCGCTTATCTACTTCGCCATCTCCATCACCGCCGTCGCCAAATACTCGGACGGGGCTTCCAAGGCAGCTGGCGTGAGCAGCGCCCCACCCCTGGGAGGGGGTGCCCAGAAACGCCCCTCAGGTTCACCCCGCCCCCCCACACCCACTCAGGGTGGGACCTGGGGCGCATCCTTCCCCTGCTTGGCCCCTTTGGGCTCTTGTGTGGGTCCGACTATTCCAGAGTCCTCTTGTGTGAGAGAGTCATTCTACCCGAGTCCTTTGACTTGAGCTTGTCATACCTCGTCCACAGCCCACTTCCCGGTACTCGGGTCTGCGCCTGCGCTGTGGGCTGTGCCTGTCCTGGCAGGTCTGAAACGGGCCATGAGGCTGGGGGCGTCCCATCCACCCTGCCCCTGTGTCCCACAGGTGTTTGGCTTCTTTGCCACCATCGTGTTTGCTATTGACTTCTACCTGATCTTTAACGACGTAGCCAAATTCCTCAAACAAGGGGACTCCGCAGATGAGCCCACAGCACACAAGACAGAAGGTGAGTGGCTGCCCTGCGAGTTTCCACCAGGAAGCAGCTGATCACCCCTACAAGTATTTCTGCAGGAGCCCCGCCCTCCCTTGGGGACACCCGGCTAGTGTGTTAGGAGCGTTTCCTCTCTCCCCGTCGACAGGAAGTGTTTTCACAGCCCAGTTCTCACATCCCTTCATGGGGCACTGGTCACAGAGCCAGGCCCCTCGGGGAGCACCAGGCCCCCCAGGGCCTCTGCCTTTCTAGGAAGGACAAATAGGGGGCATGTCTGAGCCTTTGGCCCTGCCAGGCTCCCTCCCTGGGTGAGCCCCCAGGGCAGCTAGTCACTCTGAGCACCTGTCTACCTGCGATCTGCAGGGGCCACCTGCCCAGGCACTTGTCCTTGTCAGCAGCCCTGGGCATGCTCAGGCTCATTTTGGTTTTGTCTTCAAGGAGAGTGCGACAGACATTCTGGCCTCTCCAGCTAGAAAGGCCAGCTTGCATGTTACCCGATTCAGAAAAAAAGCTGGAAGGCTGGTTTTTCTGTGACAACACAGCCATATCAACTGTCACATTTTTGGGGTGACTTTGCCCAGCACAGGGCAGGGCATGTGGTGGGGGTCCCCCAAAGGCATGTAAGGTGGAGGCAGAGCTGGTTTGGTGCCCATGGCCCAGGGAGGCCACCAGAGGGGCAAGAGGAGCAGAGAGGGTGGCAGCTCCAAAACACAAATGGAGGAGCTGACCCGGGCTGGAGGGGCTCTGTGACCCACTGGCCATTTCCCTGCCCCACCCCCAGGAAAACTTTCTCAGACAGGGCAGTGGTGCTGCTGGCTGGCAGCCCCAAGAGCTCAGTTGGCCCCTGTAACTAAGTGGCCCAGCAGCAGACGCCCCTCCCAGGCTGTGTCGGCATCTGTTGGCCCAGACACCCGCCGAGGCTGCCATGTGCTGGGTGGGAGGGATGCCACGTGGGGCAGGGCCAGCCAGGAATCAGACCCAGAAGCAGTGGCGATGGGCACAGCAGGACGTGTGCCATGCTCGGGGAAGCCTCCAGCTGGGGCAATGACGGCAGAATAGGAGGCAGAAAGGGGGGTGTGAAGGGATGAAGCAGCTGAGGGAGGGAGGGCCGAGAACAGGTGCTTCCGTCCAGGTGCAATGTTTTAGAACAGGTGCCGGTGCCCCTGCACGGGCCAGCAGTGCTGCAGCTGCTGGCAGGGGGACATGAGGAGCTCTAGAAGGGCCTGCAGGCCCTGCCCTGGAGATGGATTGTCCCCAGAGCACCTGTTGTCCCAGGCGGGACTGGCTGGTTAGGTTGAGGAGCCACCAGCTTCCTAACAGCCAGGCTGCTGGGGCCAGGGAGCTCTGTGAGCCCCAGAAATGGTCCCTCTGCTGAACACGAGTGTTGCCCTGCCACCCTGCCTCAGGCTTGAGGTTAAATGCTCCCAGACATTTTCCTCGGGCCCTTGTGACCTGTTGCCAGCCCAGTGAACAAGTCACTGGAGACACATGTTGCCCTTTTTTTGATATTTGGAGAATTTCTTATATATTTACTATATAATTATTTCCAGCTTATATGTTAGAATTAAACATAAAAAATCCACAAAATCTCATGAGTGCAGCCCAGGCATGGGGGGAGGTGTGAGAGTCGGGCTTTAGGTGGGTTCTCCAAGCACATGGGGACTCCCTGCTACCCCCAGCCCAGCCCTGAGCCAGTGACAGCCTGAGGCTGCCCAGGGTTCTGAGAGATAGGGCCTGGCCAGGGAAGGGATGAGTGTCAGAAGATAGCAGCCAGCACAGGGGATGGGGTCAGAGGTTAGTGACTGGGGTGCTTTTTTCCTTCCTTTGGGTGGGGAGTTCTAGAAGGCTCTACAGAGCAGTCTTCCATATTAGGCTTTCAGGAACCCTCAAGTCACACCTCACAGGCCCCTTAACATTATAAAATTGCTTCTGATCACAATATTAAAAAGGATTAGGGGAGGGGGATTGAAACTATAAAATGGCGCAAAAAAAAAAAAGGGCTTGCCCAGTATATTTTAGTTCAGGGGACAAGAAAACAGCTGTCCTTGCCCTGCTGAACTGAGGGGTAGGGTTAGGATGCAGGTGTACATGGGGAGACTTGAGAAGCCCTGGGGCCCCAGTTAAAGTGGCATCTGGGCGTCAGTCTGGGGAGGAACTGTCCACCACCCTGGAGGTGGGAGCGGCTGGGCGGAGCCCGCACACCAGGAAGGCTGGAGTCAGCTGTGGGCAAGGCCTGGGCCCCTGCCAAGCATCCTCTGCTTTCCTTTCAGAAGAGAGCTCAGACTCGGACTCAGACTGAAGTCCTAGCCGTGTCCTGGCAACCTGAGCCACATGGGGCCTCCACCCTGCACCTTCCTGACATGGCTGCCCGGGGACACAGCACGTCGGAAGGGAGGCTGTGACTTCTCCAGTAGTTGCTGTCGCTGGGGGCCTGCCCACAGCCTCAAGGTCACACCTGAGCCCAGCATGCGAGACTGATCCTTGGCTTGGCACTGTTAACCACTCTGCACCTGTGGGCACCTTGAATATTCCTCCCCGTTTCTGTCCCCCAGACCTTAAGCCCTTTAACCTCTCTGCCAAAACAAGCACAAGCAGCAGTCGACAGAGCCTGTTGCCACCTGCTGCCATCGGCAGTTCATGCTGCAAAGTGGGGAGTGCAGGGGGTGTCACCTGTGTTTTGCCAACAGGGACAAATACAGAAACCCCCACATGGCCGCAGTGGTTTTCGTCTGCACGTGGTGCTCCTGCTCACGCCACGCACTTGGTCAAGAAGGACTGTCGCGATAACTTTTGTTCAAGGAGCACCGGTTCCCTCTTCCTTCTAGAAGCAGGGAGAAAACTGACCTTTGCCTTATCTGGGAGAGAGGGTCTCATCGCCCATTCCTGATGCCTCACACCCTGGGAAACCACGTCGTCTTCGAGTGAGATGGCCATTCTGGGTCTGAAACTGACAAAGAGCAGCTCGAAAACTAGCTTCCCAGGTCCAAAAGACAGAGGGTCCCAAACAATGATGCAGCAGTGACAGTGTCACGGGTGGCTGGGCGGGCCCAGCAAACCCTCTAGACTACCAGAGCAGGTCTCCTGACCACCTCACAAGGTGAGACGAGCCTTTTGTGTTCACCTAAGGACTTATACTGTGTATCTATAATGAGATTTTGTAACTTTTTATAGTTTTTTTTATATATATATATACACAAAAGCAGCTTCTTAACAATTGGCATTTCCTATGACCCTAAGCCTTATGAACAAACCAGAGTTCTGGACCCATGTTTTGGGCATTTGTAACCTTGCTCTCTTGCATGTGAATCCCCTACCCTGAAAAAAGCCATAACAGATTAAACCAGAATGACTACTTGTGTGTTTTCAAAAAACCTTCCACCACCCAGAGCAGTACTATCAAGGACTTACCACGCTTCAACACAAACTGGTCGCTAGTGACATGGACAGCGTTGGGTTTCGGCCATGGTGCACGCGTCCTCTTCCGTGTCAGGCACGAGGGTAAGTATCTGACCAGTGTTTGAGCCTATTTCATCCTCACACAACCCTGTTTTACAGCCAAGGAAACAGAAAGGTTGGGTAGTGGCTCCGGGCCCTGCCACTCACACACAAGGATGGTGCCCCACGGCGGCCAGAACCTGAGGGCGCTCGTGGGTTAGGAAACTGGTTGCAGGAGGGACCTCACTGTTGCAGCCTGGGGGGACCCTGGGTCAGCGTTTGTGCCCTTGCTGGTGGGAAGAGGCAAGGCACAAGCGCCCCGGAGCTCACACAGGACACGCTCGAGTTGAACGTGCTGGAGAAGAGAGGAACCCGGCAGGACTCCGTGGAGCAGGCCTGTTTCTGAAACTGGGTCCACAGCATTTAAGGGACAGGAGGCAAGTCAGAGTGAAGAAAGAGACAATGACATTTTTACGTGTCCATTTATTAAACAAGAATTCCTTCATGACAATTTAATACAATATTAGCGATTAGTGTTGAGAAAATTATTTCCCTCTACATACAAAAATACAGATTTGAACACTATGAAAACAAGACAAGTACCGTGAAAAATTGGTCCTTCAAAAGAAAGAAAAGGGGAAAACTGAGGGCAATGTGAGGCTTTGTCGGCTGTCAGGGCCGAATCAATCAACAGGAGCAAAAGTTCTAGGACCCCCTAACGACTCAGGTGTACAGACTGGAGCCCAGGGCATCTGCGCCAGTCTGAGATGCCAGGATGGGTGCTCGGACCCATGACAGCCAGTTTGCCAAACGGGCATCACACCTCAGGCAGCCTCACAGCTGTATCTTTAAACTCAAAAAGAAACACTCGTAACAAGCAAAGCGTAATAGTTACTAAATTAACACTGCCCCCCAAAAGTGCCACTAGGTGACGTACCAAGGAGTCATCATACTGGAAAGTTACACTTAGCCATCTGACTTGACCTCCTTTGTTATCAAATAGTTACATATTTTGACTCTTCGGAAGGACAAAAAAGCCAGCTACAATTTTATGTTTCGATAAATCCGTACCTTCATTTTGCAATGGCTCAGCTAGTTCACTCAAGCTCTCTCTGGACCGGACATAACCTGTGTCCTGCAAAGGTGGGACAGCCACTGTTCTCAGTGGCATGTCTGGGTGGCATCAGGCTCCTCCCAGCAAAGACTAGTTCGTTCAGGCTCAAGAAACCTAACAAGGGCCACCCTGCCTGCCTAGAGCATCCTCAACCAGTCTTGAAAGCCCAGTGTTAGGCGACAGCGCCAGGGAACGCCCCTGGGTTCCTGTTCATCAGGCCTGACAACCAGGGAAGGAGCCAGACACGGGCTTTTCACCATCTCAGACCCAAAGAAGGGGAAGTCAGGGCATTGATGATTTTTTTTTTTAACGTACTGACTGCCACACTAGAAAAAACATTTTTTCCCTGGGGCCATAGTGTTTTATTAAACCGAAATGATCCTTCCCTATTTGTTATTTTTTATTATTTTCTGTGCATGAGTTATATGCAATGCAATCCACATTTTTAGAATTAGATTATCAATATTAAATTGCAACAATAAGAACAAGTAAGATTTTTATGAACCGAGATGCGACTCACCTGGCAGTCAGGGTGTTAAACGTGAAACCACCTTCCTCTTGACTGCTGGGGGTGAGCAGTGGCCCTCCCACCTGAGCAAGTGGTTTCAAATGCTATTATACTGACTCATGATTATTTCACAGAAATTTACTCTGACCATTTAAGCAGAAACAAAATGGTGGGGAGAAAGCAGCAGAGAAGAAAAAGAGAATAGCCAAGGGGTTTTTTTTGTTTGTTTTTTCTTTTTTAAAATACAGAGTAAGATTAAAGAGAAAATGGCCAAAACTTCATAACCATCATTGTTGAAAACAATATTAAAAGGACATCATCTAAAACCATGCTACAAAAATAGTGTTATTTGGCTTAACTAAATGTACATCTTTTTTTTCCCAATTCCATGATTGACAAGAGTGCTTATGCGACACATGGAAGGCACCAAAGGTGAAGTGATTATTTGTTTTAAAATATACAAAGAATTGCCTACTTTGAAAAAAAATAATACCATCATACCTGTAAATAAATAGTTTAGTATTTCTGCCATGGGTTCCTGAACCCCTACAAATTTCAACATATACACATAGTTTCAATCCCTAGTATTTAGTTTCAATCCCTAGCACTCTCTTGGAACCATGCCAAACAAAACCAAGTTATGAAAAGCATTGACTTTATCCAAAGAGGTTAATTTCATCATGAGGCAAGATTCGAAAACTCATTTTTAAATGGGTTACAGAGGAGTCCTGAACTTGCAAAATCGATTCTGGAAAAAGCAGGCAAGCAAAGCAAAGCAGAGCCCGTGGAGGGAGTCAAGGCCTGGCCGGCCCTGGGTACCAGGTCTCCCTTCCACTGTCTTCATTTCCTGACCATTCCTTCAAGTGACTGTCCTGATCAAAAGGGAATACCTACTGAGTGTCACCACTGTCATCCAAAGATGACTCAGATTGGATAGTTTCAGACTCTTACTGACACCCAGACAAACCATTACCGGAATCTTGTTCTGCACCTTCTCTCCTTTCAGGCACGATTATGAAAAGAAACTCTGGGCCTCACCCTAAATCCCATCGATAAAGCTGATTAAGGTATCTCACTCCTAAATTAGAACCATAAAGGTTCAGACAGCTCATGGAGTCTAAGCGGTATTAACCCCTTAAGCAAAGGCTCTCTGGCTGTTGTGTATTGTGCATCCCAGAGTCTAGATAGCAAGCCCCCTGAATCAAAGTCTCAGCATAAAACATACAGACACAACAAAGTAACCCTACAAAATAGATACACTATGCCAGGACCCACCATCTAAACTCTATTCTAGGCAAGTTGCCAGTGAGTCAAACTCAGTGGGCTTGTGGGTAATTTCTGTCTAATTTACTGTTATGTTTATGGCATAAGAAAAACTGGAAAGGAAAACACAATCCCAAAGGTTGAGAAATTGTATCCAAATGGAAAAAGAATATATTCCAGACAAAAGAAGGGAAAATATAACAGGACCCACTCCTCTGTCTCAAGCCGAAGAGTATACAAGTGCTATTGACTGGCATGAAGAAAAGTTAAACAGAACATTCACTTTCAGAAGAAAATTCTTCTAGATCTGATATTGAAGGCCTTTTCTTTCAGAGACAGTTTCTAAATAAACATAAAAGGTCAAATATTTCAAATTACTTTCTCAACCAGACTGACTTTATTTATAAAAATCTGACGATTTGGATGCTATCTGCCCAAAAGTGAAGCAACAAAAGATTTTATCAAGAGTCAGGAAAGCTGACAAAGCTAAGAGGGTGGCAGCGTTAGGTCTGTGTCCTGTCTGAGATGGAGTTCCCAAGCCAGATGCCAAAAGCTCACCCACAGCACCAAAGCGGACTGGTCCCGGCATGCTGCTCTTGCCCTCGAGCTGGTTCTGGGACACAGGAGCTCACTTTTCCAAAGACAAGCGGACAGGAAGGTAGCGGACCCAGCAGTGCACTTCTCCAGGACAGCCCGAGTTTGTAAAGACGTCTAGCGTCATCAACAGGCCAACAGCAGACAGAGGCTGGGTGTGCCAGGCGGCTGCCTCCTCTTCCTCCTCCTCCTCCCACCTCCCAGACCTGCCCCTGCGTGGACCCACCAGCCCACCACGCCACCGCCCTCCTGGACCTGGGCAAGAGCGAAACCCTGGATTCGGCAACTTCACTAGGAACTAAAACGGTGCCTGGAGACTTCTAAAGCGAATGGCCATCCCTGGAACAGAAAGCAACTTTTTATTCTGCTCAAGAGAATCACCCAGCAGCCCCTGGCCCAGAAAGCGTTTTCTGCCTTTTGCTACCTGTTTGATGTCACCGTAAACAAGATCTGGAGAAGATGACAGCCGGGCAGTGGCACTGTGACTTCGTGACTGCTTTGTTTTGAATACAGACGGCACAGCAGGAACTGCCTAAATCATCACTGCCTTCCAGAGTCACTCCGCTGGCCATGTGTCTCCATGCCCTAGTCATCTGCTGGGACAGGTTCTCAGGCCAACCCACAGGAAATCCTGCACAGAGATCAGACCTTGATCCACCTCTCAAAGCACGTGGATAGGTGTGGGGTAGCTTCCAAACAGCATGTGAGAATCTACGAGAAAAGGTGAGCTCAGGCCACACACGGGACATGACACACACAAGGTTATTCAAGGCTCTTGCACTGCAAGCGGGAATTCACAGACATATCCAGACCAAAGAGTTAGCGCTGAGTCTCCTCAGAGACCGCCTGTGCCTTAACCAGGTCTGACTCACTAGGAAAGCTTCAAAGAAAGGCAGACGAAACTGCCAACTGGAACAGAGTAGGAATGTTTCCCACTGAGGCACGAAGCTCTCCCCGGAAGCAGCCCGGGGGGAGGTCAGACACACTCCGTGCCTGCCTGCGGCCGTGAGCCTTCCTGCCAGGGGACAGGAATAGGGCCCCAAAGACCAGTGTGCCGCCAGCTTCCCAGGGCTGAGTGCTCAGCCGTGGACCAGGCTCTGCCCATGTGGGCTGCTAGCTCGAGGACGATGTGCAGGCGGCCACATCCCTGCTTTCTCTGCAGACGGAAATCAACTCCCTTGGATGGCTGTTCACTTTAAATCAAACTGCTCTGATGAGATTTTTAATCTGTAACCAAGTCTGCCCTTGCCTAAAGCAAGTGTCTTTAGGCTTCCATGACTGTAATCTCTCTGTGTGGCAGGGAAAAGCTATTTCCCGCCATGCCTTCAGCAGTGTGAAGGGAGGATCAAGGAGAATCAGAAAGAAAGAAAGAATAAAACATACCAAATCAGTGCCAAAATAAACTTTCTCTGAGGACGTCAGTGTTTGCATCCGTCGAAAAACCACCAGCGGTTCCACCAAGTGCTTGAGGGTTTCAACTGTACCGTCTCCAGGTACAAAGCCAAATGTACACAGCAGCTGCAGGTCCCTTCAAGTTTTGCTCAAACTATGAAAATGAGTATCATCCCACCAGAAAACTAAGACTAAGGTGGCTTCAGCCCTCAAATGTCCCAAACCAAACACACTGGAACCATTAAATGCAAAAATGCTTCCTCCGCTTTGCAAAGAGGCCCATGTTAAGGCCTGCAAGTGTAGACTGTCTGCTGTTTGTGCACAGAGGCCGCGTGACAAAGACACAGGGGCCTTTCCATTCGCCACAGACAGACCTGCTCCCCTCGGAACTTTCCTCGCCGCGCAGGGGTGGGAGGTGTGCGACTGGAAAGTGTCCTCGGACACCTGTGGTTCTAGCGGGAGCCACTTAACACAGGTGATACATTTACAGAAACCACGGGGCAGCCTCACGGCACAAAAGATACTACATAGTTACAGGGACATAAATAATTCCAAAGAGTCTATCACCCAGATCTGAGTGAACTCCTGAGTCACGCTGTGATGTCAGAGGTCATCGCTTTTGATCACCTTTCAGCATTTCCCATTTCGGTGGCCTCCAGAACTATTTCTTGCAGCTGAAGACACATGCTTGGGAGGCCACTCACCTGTCTCCTTGGCACCAGATGATAAACTGGGTTTACTGAAGCGACTTGGGAAAACCCGGGCAACGATCCTGCCTGAATGGGGTTCTTGTTTCCAGTCTCACTTCAAAGGTGGCCTTTTACTGAGGCCACGTAACGTGATCCCCAGCAGATTTCTGCTAAAGCACAGGGTGGTCCTCCCAAGCGGGCCCCATTTGATGCAAGGCTGAGCCTTTGTGGCCTTATTTTAAATGAAACTCTCAAAGGGAGATAAGCCCGATTTTGACGGCGCACGCACACACTCGACAAATGCAAAATAAATATATAAATGAACGGATGAAATCCAGATGTCATAATCTCCCCCGAAATCACTACAGAGAATTGGTTCAAAGTCTGTGAAGCACGACTCACACTGGCTCACGACATAGATGGGACGAGGGCTCTGTCAGACCCGCTGGCAGCACGCCCGGCCGTGACCAGGCCCAGCTGCCCTCCTGTGGGAGACGAGGGGAGGCGGCCCAACACAGACACGGCGCTTGACCTGGGCCACCGCCACGGGCGGGGCCTGTGGCAGAACTCAGACTGCACTGGAGGTTCAGCTTGGGGCGCCGACCTGGAACCCCGGCCCTTCAGCGACAGCACGGCACCGTTGCCTGCAGAGCCCCCAGCCTGCCAGTGACACCTGACCGCCGCCGCCACCACCACGGGCTGCTGTTCTGAAGAATGCACTGCCACGCGTGCGTGCGGGGACGTGGCCCCCGCCCCTCCCGAGTTACTTGCCGCCCAGCGCACCGCCAGAGCTGTGACCGCCCGTTCGTCCCGGCGTCCTCCATCCCACATCGCTGCAAACCCCGCCCGCCCGCCCGCGGTGTTTCCGCCTCCGTGAGGGCTGACCACAGCATTAGAGCTCGAGTGAGGTTTGTAAACATTAAAAACAGTCCGAAGAGTGGAAACCTGACGAAACAATTTTTCCATAAAAGATACAGTTCATCTCTAGTTTCAAAAAAAAAAAAAACTACAGCATCGAAGGGGCTCGTTGAACTCATTCACCACAAGCCAAAGATCCTCACTTTGTCAAGAGTCGATCAGACCGTAAGTAACTAGGATTTTCCCCAACAACTTCCAAGACCGATGATGCTCGTGGTCGTGACAGTGAGTGCCTCCGGAAGGGGCGTGTCCTGCTGCAAATTCAAGTATTTCCAAATCCTGACAAATCTACTGAGAATCCCTTTAGGACCCTCCTCGGGCGTCAAGGAAGTCGGCGCGCATCCCCGCGGCGGAGGCGTGTCCGCGTGGGCTGATCTAGAACACGCACGCCTCCCACCTGCGGTCCACGGGGCCTGCAATCGGGCAAGCGCTCCGGCTGGTGAAATGGACGTGTCTCTCGCATGGCTTTTACCTGAGAAGGTAAACTCATAGAAAATCTGCAGGTCAGCCTCAAAGTGTTTAGGGTAGGCAGGAAACTGAAGAACAAGACTTGGTCCCCATATTCCTGGGGAAGAATCTGGGATTCGGGAATGTGATTCATTTAAGGAACAGTCAAGTGATTTCTCAGCAGGGTGTAGGAAACAAAAGGTCACCCTCCCATGAGTCAGCGGTCCTGGGGCACCGTCCCCACAGGGCACCGGCTGTCCCCAGGCCCAGCAGAGGGCTCGACCGGGGCATCCACCGCCAAGACCCTTAGAGTCCTACGTGGCCCCCGGGCTGGTGCTGGCTGCCTCCCCGGGCACAGAGGACGAGAGCAGCGTGGATCCCGGCAGCCACGCTCAGCAATGACCTAGAGCGTGTGGCGGGGCCGCCCGAGAACTGCCGCTGACCGCCCTACCCTCTACCTTCCTTCCTTGATATTCTCTCCCTCTTAGCAACCCCATTAAATCCAAAGTCTCGTCACAAATACACATGACAGGGTGGCTCAGAGTCGGAAGCCTGTGCCCCGGGACAGTTGAGACCTAAGGTGGACCTGGGCAGTCAGTGCAGCCAGCTGCCCCCACGGCCGCCGAGTGCTGGGGAACGTGGGCCTCCCCAGCCCGCCTGGGACCCGCCCGCTGGGCCACCCAGGAGACCCTTTCCCAAAATGAACTTTTACCAAAGAGGACAAAATTCAACTGAATCACATGAAGACCCGACGTGATGAGGGAAAGAAAACTCGAGGGAGAGACGGGTGCGGGGACGGGAGGGAGGGGGACCCTGGCAGGTCTTCATGTGTCCAGGCGCTGGATCTCCGGGCGACCGTCCACGTCCCTGGACTCGGTGCGGGCGCGGATGTAGTCGTTGGTGCTCTGCTGCCGGATGCTGACTCTCCATTTCTGCACCGCCAGGAATGTGTTCACCGCGTACGCTGCGGTCGCCAAGAAGCCAAATATCTAAAACACACGGGCTCCGTTAGTCCTCAGCACGCGGCTTTCTTGGTGACGCAAGCCACTTGCGTCACCAAGAAAGCCGCGTGCAGCCTCTCCAGCTGTGCCCTGTCCCCCAGCCCTGCTGGCTGTGTGGCTGTCATACCACAGCTGACCCACAGAAATTCCTGCCTGACCTAAAAGACAGCCTCGGGCTTCCTCTGAAGTATTTTGGACCAATTAAGAAAAAAACACAAAATCACAAAAGTACCTCTTTTACAGCACCTTCATGGCCTCTGGTTCCAGATGAGAAAATACAACGTAGATAAAATACGATATAGACAAAATTAAGGTCTCATGTCTGAGTTCCAATCAGGCCACAGGGCAGACATTCCAAATCCCAGCCCCCACCGCAACCTGCTGCCGGCCACCTCTCCCCTGCAGCCCCAGCGTGAGCAGCAGCCGGGCTGTCACTACTAGACAAGCATGGATGAAGCGACTAAGTGACACCTGGGAGAGCAGCTCGTTTAATATTTTTCATAAGCCTTTTAATCTCCCCCAATTGCAAAAGTGATACATGTTTTTTGTAAATCAAGAACAATACTGGCCGGGGATGGTGGCTCACGCCTGTAATCCTAGCACTCCGGGAGGCCGAGGCAGGCGGATTGCTCAAGGTCAGGAGTTCGAAATCAGCCTGATCAAGAGCGAGACCCGTCTCTACATAAATTAAAAGAAATTCATTGGCCAACTAATATATATAGAAAAAATTAGCCAGGCATGGTGGCGCATGCCTGTAGTCCCAGGTACTCGGGAGGCTGACGCAGTAGGATTGCTCAAGCCCAGGAGTTTGAGGTTGCTGGGAGCAGGCTGACCACAGCACTCTAGCCTGGGCAACAAAGCGAGACTCTGTCTCAAAAAAAAAAAAAAAAAGCAAAAGAACAATACTGCCAGGTACTATGGCACGTGCCTGTCGTCCCAGCTACTCGGGAGGATGAGGCGGGAGGATCACTGGAGCCCAGGAGCTCAAATCCAGCCTGGGCAACATAGTGAAACCCCGTCTCTAATGCTAAAAAAAAAAAAAAAACAATTCAGAAAGGCAGAGCATGGAGAGGGAACATCTAATATTATCTTGTCCCCAAGCCCCGTGGCATTTCACCTTGAAGAGCAGAAATGTCATGTGGGTGCTAAATGGGGTCATGACTGCATTCTTCTTAAGATCCCCCCTCTTCCGTTCCCCCCCCAGGCTTTTAAGACCAACATCGTTCACAGACATTCAGAACCCTGCTGGAAACAGACTCTAACAAGGTTCTTCGAACTTGAGTGTGCGTCTGAATCACCCAGAGGACTTGCTAAAGTACATTTCTGATTCAGTAGCTCTGAGGTGGGGCCTAGCACTGCATTTCTAGCAGGTTCCTGGGGGGATGCCGAGGCTGCTGTTCAGGGGGCCACACTTTGAGAACTGCAGCACTGAGGAGCTGGGACCGCCACTGGCCTGGTTACAATGGTTAGCAGAGAAAAGGCTAGAAGAGAAGGAAGAGCAGGACGCACGCCAGGGGCGCAGGACAGCAAGCCACAGGAGGTGCACGACCAGCCTGTGTTGTAACTGTCTGAGTTCACTTACCACGGCAGCAATCTCTGCTCCTGTTTTGTGGTTTAAAGCAGCCAGTACAATTGAAGCAATAAAGAAAAAGAAAGTGCTGAGTCCAGTGTTGACCAAATCCTAAAGAGAAAGATAAAATGAAACTGTGTGAACAGAACCATTCCATCCTTTGCTCTAAAGCAACTGAGGAACTTCCAAAATAAGAACCACCATACCCAACCTCCCTGAGGGTGCCACAGTTCCGTCTCCGTGACGCAGGGGTGTTGGTCACACAAAGGAGGGCAAGGGTGGTTAACAGTTTATGACGCTGCTTAATAAACCACCACAGCCAAATCTACACCTTAGCCAACACGTTACCATTTCTTGACTTAACTAGCAACCCAAACTGCTAACTACTGTTAGAGATCCAGTGTCATTTTAAAACACGCTCAGGCTGGGTGTGATGGCTCATACCTGTAATCCCAGCACTTTGGGAGGCCAAGGCAGGAGGACTGCTTGAAGCCAGGAGTTCAACACCAGCCCGGGCAACATAGATACACCCCATCTCTACAGATTTTATTTCAATTTTTTTTTTAAATTAGCTCAATGTGGTAATCCTATGGCTTGTAGTCCCAACTATTTAAGAGGCTGAGGCAGGAGGATCACCTGAGCCCAGCAATTTGAGGCTGCCGTGAGCTATGATCGCACCACTCCACTCCAGCCTAGGCAACAGAGACCTTGTCTCTTAAAAAAATAAAGTCACACGTCACACATGTCAAATCCCTTCCAGCATTCCTCACACTCATATGTGACATTTAGAACAGTTTCACACATGGAGAACACACTTCGCCAAACTGTGCACTCTTTCTCATGCAGTCTTTCAAGCCTCTGTGTCATCAGACCCCGGAGGATTTTCTCCTAAGCTTCATGTAGAGCAGATCAGTTTACATACCCGGTGTTCCACAGATTTCACTCCTGTTTTACTTGCAGAAAGGAACGTGGCACAGTGATTAAGGGTCACACAGCCAGACTAGGGTCCTAATCAACCGCACGACTTTGGATAAGCTATTTCATTTCTCTGTGTCTCATGGGGGAAGAGTACCTCTTTCCTCCCAGAATTGAAGAATGAAATGTGAAGGGTCAAGCATGGTGCCTGGCCCACAGGCAGGGTCCCCTACAGGTTTACTGTTACTTCTGTCATTACTACCTTGGCATTAGGCCCCCAAGATCCTGAGTCAGACCAGAATGCCTCTATGATCTCTACAGGGAAAGAAAATTCAGGAAGAAGCCCAAACTGCTTGATTGCCAGGTTGACTACACCATTAACACCTGGTGGTCCTCTTGTCTGGCTGACTTCAAGGTAGATTTCTTCTTTTTAAAGATGCAGCAAGACAATGTTCACGTAATAACAGTGCTGAACGTGAAGCGGAAACCCAGCCTGCTCTTGCTCACAGCTTCCGCGTGGGCTCATGGGAAGCTCTGTTCAGAAATATCTGCCAGCAGGACAGGTTTCAGCTGTGACCCTCATAAGCCAGGGCAAAGTTTGCACAAATTCAAACCAGGAAGCGTTTAGTCACGCTCAGCTCTGGGTAAGATCCTACAGGAGTCAAAAAGACTATAAAACATACCTCCCAAAGCAGAGGCTATTCAGATACAGAAAAAAATATTTCATGGTACAATGCTGAGGTCAAACATCAAACAAAATAGCATCTACATCAACAGTGACTATGTAAAAATATGTAAGTGGGGCCGGGCGCTGTGGCTCACGCCTGTAATCCTAGCACTTTGGGAGCCGAGAGGCGGGCGGATTGCCTCAAGTCAGGATCGGAAACCAGCTGAGCAAGACCATCTCTACCAAAATAGAAAGAAATAATTGACCAACTAAAAATATATATACAAAAAAAAAATTAGCCGGGCATGGTGGCGCTGCCTGTATCCAGCTACTCGGAGGGCTGAGGCAGAAAGGATCGCTGAGCCCCGAGATTGAGGTTGCTGTGAGCCAGGCTGACGCCACGGCACTCACTCTAGCTGGGCAACAAAGTGAGACTCTGTCTCAAAAAAAAAAAAAAATATGTAAGTGGCAAAGGGCTGGAAAATAAACAGGCAAAAATCTAAGAGTACCAGAGGTTTTCAGTTTGTTCCAGGAATGATAATTAACAATAGTAAATAGATGAAATCATCACTGAAATGATGATTGTGATCACAGAGTACAGTGAGAAAAATTCCAAAAAGCTTATTTAAAAAAGACAAGACAAATCTCCCAACATGACCTGGGGTTAAGGAACCAGATTAAACCAGGGGAAACAGCAACTGCTAACAAGAGTATAACATGTCTGCCTCCCCAAATCCCACTGAATTATTTTGATTTCTTTAACTTTTAATTGTTACTATTTTGGATATATAATAGTTGCACATATTTATGGGGTACGTGTGGTATTTGATACAAGCATACAATGTGCAATGACCAAATCAGGGTAATTGGGGTATCCATCACCATTACCCTGATTTGATCATTGCACATTGTCTAATTCCACTTTTAGTTATTTTGAAATATACAATAAATTATTGTTAACTGTGTTCACCCTATTGTGCTACCTCCACTGACTTCTATTTAAATGCTGAAATGCTTACCTAAAAAACCAACCTGAATACAACTGAGCCTTTGGAGTTGTGCTAACCAAGAGGGTAACCACTAGCCCATATGTGGCTATTTCAAGTTAAATTAAATTACATAAAAGTTTAAAATTCTGTCCTTTTATCACACTAGCCATGTTTCGAGTGCTCAGCAGCGACGTGTGGCTAGTGGCCACCACCTAGGGCAGCGTGGATCAGAAAACATTTGCATTCTCAGAGAAGCTTCTGTTGCTCGAGCTGTCCTAGAGCCTAATGACAGTCACAGAAAAGACGGGGATAGAGGAACAAGCAAACACCACCATGAGGGTATAAGTGGCCAACTCCAAACTGTGGGATGTTTTCCAGGATAAATGACCCAGTTTTTCTAAGAAATCAATAGAATAATAAGAAAAAGAAAAACCACACAGGAGGCTGTGGGAACCATGTGTGGTTCAAGATTTGAACAAAACAAATGTAAAAAGACATTTTGAGACAAGGGAGTAATCTGAATATGAACTGGACATTAAATAATGAGTTACTAATTCTGTTGGGTATGACAATGGCATAGTGCCATTTAAAAAATAGTGCTATATTTTAAAAAGAAAAGTAGTGAGGAAACAAAAGGGATTGGTTCTAAGGCAAGTGATTAAACAAATAATTTCTAAAAATGTGTATTCCTACCTAATACTTTAAACCAAAATAAACCAAAGAGAATAAAAATTACATTATCAAAACCAAAATCACAAAAGTGTGGTCTTCCCTGGTCAGGAAGAACTTTCTAATAAGCATTATACCAAATGTGGAAAACGTCAAATAAAATCTTGACAAATATTAAACCTTAAATAACCATTTGATAAAATGGTCAATATCCTTAGTTTATAACTAGCTCTTGCATATTAATCAGAAAAAGTAACAAAGTGAGGAAAGGATACAAATAAGCAATTTAAAAGAATTATAAGTGGCCAAGAAGCAAGAAAAAAAATGTTTATTTGTAACCAAAGAAATGGAAATTAAGCCAGGCACAGTGGCTTACACCTGTAATCCTAGCACTCTGGGAGGCCGAGGCAGGATCGCTTGAGCTCAGGAGTTCGAGACCAGCCTGAGCAAGAGTGAGACCTGTCTCTACTAAAAATAGAAAAAATTAGCCGGGCATGAGGGTGCACTGTCTGTAGTCCCAGCCACATTGGAGGGTGAGGCACAAAGATTGTTTGAGCCCAGGAGTTTAAGGTTGCTGTGAGCTAGGCTGAAGCCATGGCATTCTAGCCCGGGCAACAGAGTGAGACCCTGTCTCAAAAAAAAGAAAAAGAAAAGGAAAGGGAAAGGGAAAGGGAAAGGGAAAGGGAAAGGGAAAGGGAAAGGGAAAGAAAAGAAAAGAAAAGAAAAGAAAAGAAAAGAAAAGAAAAGAAAAGAAAAGAAAAGAAAAGAAAAGAAAAGAAAAGAAAAAGAGAAAAGAAAAGGAAATTAAATTGCCAATCATATACTGCTAGTCATCTGTGAGATGGCAAAGACTGTATGCCCAGGGTGTGTGCGATTGAGAGAGAGAGAAGACCAGCAAGTAAGGCTTAAATGACAACTTTCTAGAAAACCATTTGCCAAGAGGTGTCAAAGATTTTAAACAGGTTCATGTCATTTACTTATGAATCCCACACTTGCAAATTCATCTTAAATATATTAGGGCAAAAAGGTCTAAGTATTAAGGATGTTCTTCCTGACATTATTTAAAATAGCAAAATATTGGAAGCAAATAAAATGTTAAGTAAGGGATTTGTTAAATAAAAGTGTATTTCCATAATGGGACATTATGCAGTGATCAAAAACAATGATGCCATTCTATATTTAACATGGAAGATACTCTTGATAATTTAAACCAAAAAGAATGACTTTAAGGGCTCTGTTTACCCTACCCACACATCACAGCATACATGCATATGTGAAAAACAGTCTAGGAGAATTTATACCCAAGTATCATAAATGCTTACCCATGGGTGGGCTGCATCACAGGTTTTTAAACAGTTTTATTGAGATATAACTCACATACTATAAAATATACCCAATTAAAATGTACAATTTAATCACAATGTAATTTTAGAACATTTTCAGCACTCAAAAAAAAAAACCACCTCACACTCATTAGCAGCTATTCCCCACTCCTCCCTGAGCCCCTGGCAACCACCAATCTGCTTTCTGCCTCTATCGATTCGCCCATTCTAGACATTTCATATAAATAGAACTATATAATACGTGGTATTTCGTGCCTGGCTTCTGTCATTTAGTGTAATGGTTCTAAGGTTCATTCATGTTGCAGCATGTACCAACACTTCATTCCTTTTTATTACTGAATAATATTCCATTATACAGATACACCACTATTTTATTTATCCTTTCATCAGTGATGAACATTTCTGTTGTTTCTACTTTTTGGTTATGAATGCAGCCAATGTACAAGCTTTTGGGTGGATGTGTTTTCATTGCTCTTGGGTCATCACCATTTTTTTTTAAATTGCCTATATCTTCTAGTTGCTCTGCAA